CGAATAGCCCTTGTTTTCCAGCTTCTCACAATGATGTGATGAAAAGTGGTCACATAAACGGTAATCAATTTATCAAAGATTCAATCACGAGAGAAAGTCAAGCTTAATGTCATATGATTTCTACGTTGTATGTCATGGAGTTCAGGACATTACCTATTGAACAACCTTCGTATTTGAAGTTTCTAATCAGTTGTTGATGAAGAAATCCGGAGCGCTGAGAAATGGTTCCGGTCTATCGGGTGTACTGTGGTTATGTGTGATTTACATAATTGTACGAATTAATTATCGACAATTAATTATGACCATGTAGTAAATCGTACACTGTCTTATTCTCTCAAAATAGTGTATATTTCCAAGATGAAAAGAAACCGAAGAAAGATAATACGGAAAGGCAATTTTCAAAAAACAGAATTAGGATATATTAAGAATTTGGAAAAGTTTTTTCTATGAATTATGTTGACTTCAAAATAAGCAACATGGATTTGTCAGCATGCAACATAACTATGTTGATATGCAAGAAATATGTAATCAATAAAAAATTTGGATTTTTCCCCCGAAATTATCAAATATTGTGACATATTGACGTACGCGGTAAAGATGGGGATAAATACCATATCAATGAAAGAAATACCTAGTTTATTTAACTAGTATGCCTCGTGATGTGTTCATCGTGATTAATCATTTCGTTTACCGGCAAATATAGTGAGTAGTAGGTGTCACGTGAAGCGGGGGTCATATAGATATCTCATTACTTGTAAATTCTAGATTTACTAATGTTATCTAGTAAATCTGCCCAATACCTGATAAAAACTACTTTTAAAGTAGTGATTGTATGGACAGTAAATTTACTACAGTAAAACTCATTTAGTACGAACACGGATATTGCGAATTCACGGATATAGCGAAGTTATCTTGGATTCCCAGCTAAATAAATTTAACGAATTCCGTGTACGGATATAACGAATTACGGAATGAAGTGTTCTCAGTGACTTTTACTAGTCATTTTTTTTCAGTGATATATATATTATGATATCGATATACCACTCATTATTATGTTCCCCAAACGAAGTTGGGGAACATATTGTTTTTACTCTGTTTCTTATTATTATTATTTTTCTTCTTCTTCTTCTTCTTCCTGGGTACTTTTTTGTCCGGGAATGATCTCGTAAACTATACATCCGACTAAGGTGAAATGTTTTTAGGGTCAGTAGACATGTTATGTAGATTTGCGGAACGAAGGTCATTTTGCGCGCACGTGCTTGCAAGAGCATGCACGTGCAACATGTGAAATGACCGATTTAATTGATATAGGCATAACTTTTTAAATTTTTGATGAAATGCTTTGAAACTTATAAAATAAGGATATATTAGTAGCATAGACAATATGACATGGTCAAAATAGCAAGATCTCACGCGCATGCACGTGCGCTTTGCTCTGATTGGCTGAAAGTAAAGTCTCAATATCTTTCTTGTTTTTTGACGAAATTCTTTGAAAATTTAAAAATAGCCATGCATTAGAATATCATACAACATGATATATAGCAATTATCATGAAAACACGTGCATGCACGTGCGCTGCAATCTGATTGGCTTAAAATTTGAATAGCTATAACTCCTTTGATTTTCAACCAAACAGGATGGGATTTGGAACATAGATAGATATACTGGTCTACTGCAAGAAAATATGGTCACCATGCACATGCATACACGTGCATGTACGTGCGCTGCAATCTGATTGGCTGAAACTTTAAACAGCTATAACTCCCTTGGTTTTCAACCAAATGGTGTGGGATTTAGAACATAGATATATGTAACGGACATCTACAAGAAGGTATGGTCACCATGCTCATGTATGCACGTGCGTGCACGTGAAATGGGTAAAATTAAAAATACACTTGAATGAGCGTTTTTTTTTAATACTTTTGGATTAAATACTTTAATACATGTATTTAGTATATCAAAATATATAGATTGTGTAGACAACATGATATGGTCATTACGCACATGCATTCACATGCGCACGCCTGCAATGCTAAAATTTGAATGAAATTGGCGTTGTTAAAGTCAAAAATGCATAGATTTTGTCCTATTTAATGAAGCTTACAGGGAATATGGCACCAAAAGGGAGTCGGGGAGCGTTTGGGGAACATCTGTAACGGTCCCCGTTACAATTAGCACTAGTTTATGTTGGAGTGATCACGTACAATATAAGCTATATTTTTGCGGCAATTATTTGTTAAATTTTTCCCAAAGTCATCTTAGTTGTTTTGCATGTTGACATATTCTTGTTGCATGTTGACATAATAATCATGCATGTTTTTTTTCTTATATATAGCAAAATAACATATTTAAAGTTCCGAAAAATGTTACCATAAAATCATTAAAACACCTCATGCATCAATTATCAACTATTGTGTGCAACCAACCAATGAGAAGTAATGTTAGTTCATGTATTTACATGTAGAGGAACGTGACCAAGTCTCTCTGACTCTGATTCAAGATTTTGTCAATTTAAATACAATAACCTTGAAAATCATGTGTGGGTGAGACCTGTACTTTAAAATTCAATGTTAAAAAAATCAATTCATCAAGAATGCATTGGTTCGGTATACACATTGATTCTCATTAAGTTTTGTTCTAAATGAATTTCCCACTTAACATCGATTTCTGTCTTTGTTTTTGGATTTTTTTATGATTACTAATGAAATATTTATTGTATTTGCAAAAAGGAGATGTTTTGAAAAAAAAATTAAAATTTGCTAATTATCAAATAAATATTTTTATCAAATTAATATACTCTGATCAGCCTACATCCAAGATACGTAAGAAATCAAATAACAATATTAATGGCTTGTCATATAAAACCATTATGTTTTATTAACAAGTTTATAGCAGTTTTTGGTGTTCAAAAGAATTTATTGATGCAGTATGGTTCTTACGTACTTATAGGCGTGTACTCCGTAGTCTAGATATGTTTGTTCAGGAGGTGGTTCTAAAACCTTGCTCTTTAAATTTTTGAAAGTAGAGGGGGCTAGCTGGTAACTGGTTTGACTTGACCTTGTTTATGTTTCTTGTTACGTTGCGATGCGCTCAAGCTACAGTATTGATATGAAAGGTTGTAAATCGCAAATGGCACAGTAAACAATCTATTAAGTACAGTTTATACAAACCGGTAAAATTTAGGTTGAATGAGTTAATTTTTTTTTGGTTGCAGAGACATTAGTAAAAATTAACAAGTATTTTGAACCAACCACTAAAACTTTAGAATTGGTTTTTGTGTCTTTGAAATTAAAATTATTTAAGGAATCACTGTCTAGTTAGTTTTTTTCATGCTCAGGGCAAATCAACAATAGTGGGAAACATTATAATTTTTTAACGGGCGAAGCCCGTTATGCTAACTTTTCCCATTTTCTTCAAGCTATTGTTGAAAAAACTAAAACTAGACAGTAATTGGTTATATTTCCATTTCATTGTGAAATAAAATTGCAGCTGTAGACTTTAAAAATGCAAACATAGATTTAAATTACAAGAGGACTTTCATGCCAATTTCCATAGCCCTCGCCCGCACGAGATTTTCATGCATATTTGGCATCCTTAGCGTCAGACACAGAGACAGATGCGCACGAGATTTGCATGCATATTAGGCCTCCTTAGCACCTGACCTATTCCGGTAGAATTATCAAGAAATTAACTCCGCTAACTTTCAAAGAGTTATCACAGAGAGAAAAATTAGAAATGGAAATATTTCAATTTATCCACCAAAATGAAAGAAAAAGAAAATTTTTTTCATTCTCTTTTTGAAGATCTGAAGTAATCTATCGTTAACTTTATATTATTTTATAATATGTAGGGCGTACAAGTAGCTTTATCTAACTTTTATTTTTATCTTCAAGCAAGATCGCAAAAAGTAAACGACTAATTGGTTTTACATTTTCTGCATTTACACAAAGAATTATAAGTGCATAATACCGATAGTACAAAAATGCGTGAAAATAGCACGTTAAGTTTTGTTGAATAGGATTGAGTAAAATATAATGATTATTAAAGATATGGCTAAGCACTGGTATTTACAAGTTAAAGAGATCTTTCATTTGCATCGTTTTCTCCTTTATGTTTGTTTCCATGGACGATTAATATGCATGCACATAAGCTACAATTGACAACACTTTGTTTTGGAGACGCCATAGAATTTTGAACAATCTAAAACGTATGCACTCAAAAATAATTGATAGCAGATTATGATGATTCAACTGAATTAGAAAAAGGGTACGTAAATCAATTTTGCAAAAACTAATTAAAAAGATTCAAAAGCATAATTGTTGCCATTATTTAAAATTACCATACGTGGAGTTTTCAACAAATTTAAATATAAGAATAAAAGGACATATCATTGTATGCAACATATGATAGATTATTCACCCACGTGGCGCAGTGTGTTTGAAGCATAAAACAAGGAAAAATGTCCTACACAGATTTAAAGCTAAATCAAATAATAATTATGACACTGATATGTTAAAGACAGTCTGTCAACTTTGCTTTTTGAAAAATTTAGTGCATTTACAGTTTTTATAATCGTATCAAGACAACAATGCCCAATATTATGTATAGACTCTTAAAATTAACTTAAAATTTAGGGGAAAAAATCCTCACAAATTAGATTTACTTTCTGAAAAGGTTTAACACGCATGGTTAAAAATGAATATAGACTAAATTTTAAATCACGTTCAAATTTTTTCCCGTGAATGACAAGACTAATTCAATGACTGAGTTAACTTTGATGTTAATAAAATATGCAAAGCAAACCAGGGCATAGATTCAAAAGGCGTTAAACCATTTCTATCCTCATACTATTACTCTCAACAGTATCTCGAAGACGCTTCTTATGACGAACAGGTATTCGGCGAGACAAACAAACAACATCTGTTGATAGCAACCATAATTTATATAAATCCCTTTGCCTCGACATAAATATCGACCAAGTCCATGTTGAAGAGACTGATCAGATAGGTTAACGAATCAAATTACATAAAACAGCAATCAACATGGGACTTCTTGATGAATTTAAATCAGCTAGCATTTTTGGAAAAATCGTTTTTATTTTGCTTTTCCTTGCTAGTTTTTGCATTTTAATTGCATTTACTTGTACGGGGTGGGGAGAAAGCAACGAGACTGCTGGTGGTGGTTATAAAATTCACTGGGGGTTGTGGCGAAGGTGTACTAATCAGGAGTTTATGACAGGTGGGCCATGTAGCGATCTTGATGGATGGGCAAATGGTAAGTTTACTATATAATACAAACAAATTTGTTTTTTGTGTTTTTTGAAATTTACAAATTCAATAAAAAAAATTTATTTCTTAAAATCAAGTTTCGCCTAATTCTTATTATTCCACAATTGAAATGAGAAACGTCTAGGACTTTAATCAAATAAATTTCAAAGGAAAAATGTATTAAAATATGAGACTTCATGTCTAAAAAGACATTTTCACAATATATAGGAAATTGGTATGAACTATGTATAATACAAAACGGTAACTATTTTTTTTATAAACTACTACATGAATGGATCCAAACATCACAATTTGATAAACTAATATCTACTTCCAACTCAGCAGCTATGAAGATTTATAGCACAAACATACACTTACAAAGCTATTTGCTGAAGTGTTTGCATTGTACAGAGTACACAAACATCAATACATCGCATGATCCTTCCTACTTTATTCATCTTTTTTTGGTTAATTTTTTTAAAAAAATGTGTTGATTTTCACGCCGACATTAATCATGCTCATCAGTGGAAACGGTGCAAGTCTTATTATAATTACATTGCAAATCAATAAAATAACATTACCAATTTTTTTAGTGTAGAACAAGACTTAACAATATAATTTGTGGTAAAGTAAACTTGCAAATCGATTTTATGACATTGCAGAATGATATCTTTCATAATTTTCGTAGCCATATAAATTAACATGGGAAATTCGTGCTTTTTTAATCCTTTTTTTCAATAATATTTCCTTTTTAAATTAAAAAAGTAAACATTATTCATTTTTTCCAGACTGGTGGGCGTTTACACAGGCTGCTAGCTGCTTTGGTTTCTTTGGTATACTAGTGTCGTTCTTTTTAGTCATTCTTTACCTGTTTGTTGGCCAATGTAAGGGTAACGGAGAAGTGGCAACAGGCGCCGCCATCTTGTGCCTAGTGACGGGTAAGCTACTCTTCTTATATATCCTTTGTTCAAATAGGGACTGTCTTAGGTTTTTCGTAAACCTTAGATATTATACTGTTGTTGTACCGACTATCGATACCATAGTTAGGGTCCATGTGTACCGTACGTTTACTGCAAGTAACACGTTTGTTAAAGCCACACCTATTTCTATATTTGCAGAAAATTAAAACACAACTGGCATCATGAATTGTATAGATTGATTCATATTGACTTTTAAAAATAAATGCTTAATAAAACTATTTACAGAATATGTTTTAGATACCATTAACACTTTTACTCTTTCAAATTGTCCCATTAAAGATATAGGTTCTTCTGAAGTGGTGGCTTTAAACGACTGAATTATGAGATTAAGGCTATCTTGAGTCCATAGTGATGTCATTCATCTTATACGTGAATTTAAACATTCAGTTTAATAACTCTTATCATATAGGTCAGATATATTGATTATATTTCAGCATTTATTGAAAAGTGAACTTTTTGTGTTCCTTACGTTTTCATATAGATAGAATAAACCTATAGTGTGAACCAGATTTTAGTAAGAAATTTTATTGTCTATAAGACAAAATATGTTGAGTAATGATTGAATACTAACTGATTCTTCAATTAATCTTTGATGGAAATGAAGACCGAAGGCGTGGCTTTGTACAATAATGACTAATTTCACGTATTGTTTAATTAGTATTCAGGTCGAACTCTTAATGGATATAAAATGTATAACATTATTCATCTCCTAATTTTTTTTATCACGTGCATGAAATAACACCGACAGACAGGCAGTCGAACCCGGGCCCATAATGAGCAATTTTCTTATTCTCAAGACATTTGCAAATTTTGTAATGACAATGATAATGGCAATGATTTAACAGTATTCTCTTAAATGTACTATCATACATTGTAGAAAGGAGGGAGAAAAAGATACCATAGGAAAAGAATATAATACATGTTTAATAAACAGTACAAAATAAGTCAAGATTTAAATCAATTATTTCCATCTTCGAATTGTTTGACAATCAACAAACAGTTGCATAATTTTTTTCAATACTGGTCATCATGTGCGGTAGTTTGAGGTATATTCTAACCTAGCCTCTTTGATTTCTTTTTGTGTGCATTCAAAAACATAATGAAATTCATCACCAATCTTATAAAGATCACATAAAGTACAGATCTTTTGTTCTCTTTGGCAGACAATTCCATCTCCCAGTTTCGACAGAGACTTTAAAGTTGTTACGTCTAAATTTAAATAACAAAGTTGAAAATTTTCGAGGCATATTAACAAGATATCTCTTTGGTTCAAGTATTTCTTTATAAAATCGATAATTCTTACCCTTGGATGAATTAAAAACATTAATTTTCCAGTTCTGAATATTTTGGTCAACAAGTATTCTTTTTATTTCATTTTTAATCCACGCTACACTGTACATCTGTTGTGTTGTCCATAAATAAGATAATCCACATTCATCTAAAATATTTTTAAAACAGTTGACCCAAGGTGATTATTTGATTTTCTCCATATGTTTGAAAACATGAGTAAAAAATAATTGATTATTATGTACCTACTCTCCCTCCTATTGCAATAAGAGATTGTTTTATTCCATTGAATTCACTGGCGAATGAAATCAATATTAGACTTGTTTTTTTTTAAATCTCTTTGTTTGCCTAAGTTGGAATGTATTACATCTTTTTTTGATTTTGCTTTTGAGCTGAAATTTAAATATAATTTTGCTTTTCTCCTCCTTTCGATAATATTGCAGGAAACATACATACATGTATATATAAGGACAGTTGTTAATGGTCTTTTGAGCAGACAAAAGATTTTTGGTAATTCAGATATAAATTCGAATAAAATTTTAATTGATTATTCATAAGTGAAACTCATAGAAATATCAAAATAATATATGACCTATTTCATCCCGAATGTCATACACATAATTAATATTACCTGACCTATTTAAACTTAATACTTTAGTTTTTTAACAAGACATCGATTCACATAATATTCATGCACACGCACATCATATTTACATTGAGTAAAAAAATGAAAATTGGACGTTAAACAAGAAATTACTGTAATAGTAAAAAAACTATTATTTTATTAGTGAAAGATATTTCAAGGCTTTCACGAAATAAATAACAGTTTTTGTTTTGCTTTAATTGACTGTTCATCTATTTTTTAGCATTAAGAAATCTTATTTCCTTTAGAATAATTTTAGTTGAACAAGTGTATACCGTTCTAAAATTTCAGAATCTTTATTCATTACACAGAAAATGAGATCGTAAACTGTCCTTGCTTTGAATTTCAGTTTATGTTATTTAAATGTAGATACACCTATTATCAAATAGACCTTGAATAAAAAAAAATATCATTCATAGAGTTCCCTTTTTAAAAAAAATTAATAATGATCCATTCCTTGTTTTGTGTCTGCAGGGGTCATTCTGCTCATCGGCTGCATTGTATTTGGAGCATAATTAGACGATATCTATTACTTTAACAAATTCGGTTATCTTACGCCTTTGGAATGGCCTTCGTCGCAACTAGAAATTGTCGCCGGAGTTCTATTGATTTTAGAATGTAAAAAAGGAGGCAGCACGTTTTTCCGCCTATCACCCCTATTGTTATTGTGATTTAAATTCAAGACACGTGGTTTAGGTTTACCTATTCATAGGTTATAGGGTAGAACGGGTTTTAAAAATAAAATTGGCAGTAAACAGGAAATTGCTATAGTCTGTTTCTTCTGAAAACATGTCCTGTGAAAAATGTGTTTCCACACCTTTCTGAAAGACTTTAATGATTTTCAACAGAAATGGGTGGTTTAAGGGGGGGGGTGGTAAATCCCAATAAATATATCTTATTGTTAACTGCAAAAATTACAGCTCATTAGCGACCGATACACTGGTAAAAAAATGTGTAATATCATCTACACTGTAAAAACCTTTGTTAGCCGTATATGGCTATTGCTATTAACGCGCACAGAGGATCTTACCACGAGCAACTGACCAATTGTTAAAAATTGATTGAATACGTTTGCGCCAAATACATGTTTACATGTTACTTCGAACACGTTGGTTCAGGTCAATCTATGATCAAGTCAATGGAGTGCAAAATAAAAAAAAAAGTTCTTATGAACAAAATGCAAACATTAGAAACTAAGAAAAATATCATGGGCGTTTTTAATTTGTTGTTAACTAGAGAAAAATATGTTTAATAAAATGTATACGTAGTTAGTGTCAAGTTTTTAGCACTTCAAGGGTAAGGAAAACGAGCAGCTTCTCGTATGCATTTAAATGGACAAAACTTATTACCGTCTTCCTTGGAAGAAGGTATTGTATAGTTGATGTTTTTTACAGTCTTCGGATTATGCACTTCCTCTCTTTTGTGATTGGTAGAAAATGCATGATGAGAAAATTTTCAATTATTTCATTGGTTGAAATGCTGTTCAAGGCAAGGGAGATAACTTTCTGATGATCTAATTTTCGTACGACTTAACAATTTTGCAAGCTTTTCAATCTTAAAAAAAATGACAAAACGAACAACAAAATCAGCAGTAATTAATTCCTAATAACATGATTTTTTGTATAGCAAAAAATAAAAAAAGATCTCTTTAACTTCATTATAAATAAAATTTGATTTTTATTGCTTGGAGGCTTTACAATTTGTTATTGTTCTTTCCCCTTTCTTGTTTGAAGAAGGAAATGGAATCAGCCGAGGTTTGCCGAAAGCTCTCGGCGAGTCAAAGTTTACGGAGATGACCGAGCGACAACCGTGGTAGGGCTAATGCCAGTAAAAAGCTAATGTAGAAATACAAAATCAAGAAATTCAAAAGAATTATACGGCCTGATAGGTGTAGATCAGTTTACAGTTTAAGATTGTTGCTAAAGACGGGAAGCTTTTTAAAAAAGCTCTACTTGTTTTACATAACTATACTCGTGATCACATATGTTGGCCAGGGAATTCACCTGGCAATTGTATTCACCGAGAGTTATGGAACGCTGTCACTGCCTTATAGCAGAACACAACAATTGCATTGTGTCAACTTTCCATTACATTATGTCAACACATTGTGACATTTACTTACAGTACTATTGCTTATGTCAACTTTCCATTACATTATGTCAACTCTTTATGACATTTACACACACAACTATTGCGTTATGTCAACTTTACATTACATTTTGTCAACTCTTTATGGCATTAACACACACTACTATTGCGTTATGTCAACTTTACATTACATTATGTTAAGTCTTTATTGCATTAACTCGCACTCATTGCGCCAATCTTCCATTGCATTATATCAGCTCTTTATGACATTAAGTCAAAACAATTTTACGTGGTGTTAAGATGTTAATATATAATTTAAACTCATTATTACATTATGTGCACTCTCTATTATTTGGTCTAAGTAGTTCATTACATGATGTGAATTTATCTTTAATTCAATATCAAGTCGCTATAACACGATGTCAGAATTTCATATATGATGTGAAAAAAATTGTCACATGTGGCCAATTCTTTACTATCTTGTGTCATCAATATGCTACATGACGCCGGGGATCTATTACATGATGTCAATTTTCCCTTACTTTTTGACAAATCATTATTATGTTATGCCATTGTATCTCTACATTGTGTCTAAAATGCTTAGCCTCTTGTCAGTATATCTTAGAATATTTCAACTCTTTATTATGTGACGTAAGGTTTAGGTTATGCCTAAAAGTTCGTTTTGTGTTTTCAATACTAGTATTACATGCACATATGTTAAACTTGCAAATGATTTAAATTAAACGTATCAAATATTAAATTATACACAAGACTTAATTAATCCTTAATTAAATATCAGGTTAAATTAAAAATAGGATCATGTTCCCAATTGACGATTTGAGAAGTCCGAAACTTCTGATCTAACTACAAAACACTGTCCTAAGCTTTTTATCAGTCTTTAACCCTTCTTTTTAAAAAAAAAAAAAAAAAAAGTGTAAATACATCGTATTTCATACGTGCACTGGTGGATCGGTGGGGAAAGGGAGGATCCCGCCCCCCCCCCCCATCTTTAGTGACCAAATATGCATGAAATTAATCAATTGATTTTACTTTGTAAGACATTGCATTAGTTTTACATAAAGTATAACTGAAATAAGTTGAAACGTTTTATAAAAAAAATCTAAAGCCTGAGAGCTTTTTGGCTTTCATTTGTCCCCAAGTTAGACACCATATCGTCCCCCTATAGCTACTCCTTTCAAGAACCCAAGATCGCAACTGATATGAGCCCGTGTTAATTTAAGTAAAAACGTAGATTTTTGTAACAGAATTCTGGTCCTGGAATGGTTGAAAAATTACTAATTCCAGTGGATGTTGCATCGTTTTTGAAAGCTGGGGGAGGTTTGTCAGCCAGACAAAAATAACATACAAAAAAAGCGAAAAAAAAATCCAAACTCGAAAATCTTATTTCGGGTGAAAGGAGGGGGGGGGGTCCAACTTCGATCAGTTCTTAAAAAAATTCCAAATATACTACATTACTCTTATACTTCAGCAAAAAGTGGGACTGAATTTCAATGAACATTTTCTATGATAAAGTTATGTCGGAAAAAAGAGGAAGTCAGACCCCTACCCCCCCCCTCATATAATGTGTCTGTAATTCGTCCTAATTAATCAGGAACCCCCCCCTCTTCCCACTCCTGTAAACACGGTTATCAACCTTGACATAATGTAAATGTATTTAACAGCGGGTAATGAACATTTGTAATCAACATGATAAAGAATTAACACAATGTAAAGATAGTTTTAAATCACATAAGAAAGAGTTAACATATTCTTATTAAATATCCACATAAAGGAATGGAGTTTTGACATAACGTAATAAAGTGTTGATACAATATGGAACGCCATGACTGTCTCCATAATATATGTTCACATTATGTTATTAACCTTTTTACATCACGTAATAAATAACTGACATATAGGTAAGATGTATTCACCTCTCATTCAATTGTGATGACCTCGGCATAAAATAAAGATACATTAACATCACGTAATAATGCTTTGTTATAATAGAAATATACACTCACAAAAGGGAATGGACTTTGACTAAATGTAATGATAAATTTAATCATAGAACACATGTAAAACGCTTAACTTGACGTAATGCAATTTTGGCCTCACACATTAAAGAAATGAAATAATATAAAGAAACATTCATTTCACGTAATTAAGTTTAACACAATGTAAACATATTTTCACTTCACATAATGAACTTTGGTCTTCAAGTTATAAAGTGCCGACATAATGGAAGAATGTGTTTACTTCATGTAATGCAGCATTGACATGATGTAAAGATATTTTTACATCACCCCATAAAAAAATGATATAACGTAAAGATATGTTCACATCACGTAATGATAGATTGACATAATGAATGCATATTTTTATGCTATAAGGCAGTGATGGCGTACCATAGATAGTACAATAAAGGAATTTATCAAGCGTAAAATTCCTGTAGTATTCGTATAGTAACCCATAATGCAATTCTCATTCATCTGATTTGTCAGTTAAAGTCACATTGGTGCCTCATTTGCTAACCTGACGCCAAAAAATATTGTCCCGGTTCCCATGCAAAATATTTGTCAAAAAAGAATTTTTTATTCATGAAAATTGTATCATAGAGAATACTTAAAAATAATTTAAACTTGAATGAATTCAAGAAAGATCGATTAAAGTACATTTCTACAGAATGATATTATTGGGTGGTGAAAACTAAAACGCAACATAACTTTTCTGTTTACAACGTCTCCACGTGCTAGCCACTTCCTAGCCACATTTCCGTGAATAATTTACCCTATCTCGCTGAAGTCTCGCTAACTCTCGCCAGAGCCACTGTCAGAACTACTTTGAACTGATCGGGTTTTATAATTTGCAGAACACCGAAAAATAAAAGGTTCCGAACACATTAGTAGGGGTGTAGATAGTCTGTTAACATTTATCTTATTTAGATTTATAACTAAAGAACATTTTAAAACGATGATTTTCCTACCGTAAAAATTGCTTGCTGTAAACAATTTGCCTTATACATTTTTGATAGTTACATTTTTACACTGTATTTATTTCTTAATTTATTTTTGTATTTTTTATTTGTCGAGATGCATTAAACTTTTTAAAAATCTTCATGCAAATTTGTTTGTAGTCAGTGATTGAAGATACTAGTACACATTTATTAAGTTTATTAGGTTATTAAATATCTGAACTATTGATTTTAATGAAATAGATCCGGTAGTTTATGGCGAAGGGCGTTTCTATTTGAATGTAAGGGGGAGGGGTCCATTTGTACACTATAAATATAGTCCCTGATAGATTTAAACTCAGTTTACAGATGGCCACGGCATTGAGATATCACCACATATTTCAAGACAAACCTGCGGCAACCGGAAGTTGGAGGTAGAATCACGGTTAAACGTTTTCAAAACGTGGTCAATCTTACAGAGGGTCTAACTATTGGTGACAAGGACTGTCTGATTTTCTTAATTGTTTGCAATGGTGGAGAAGGATTAATATACTATGATGACACATTCGCAAACCTAAAATTTGTCTTTTGGTATATTTCATTATGGACAAAAAAAAATCATTTCAGCTAAATATTCTAACATGAAAATAAAATAACAGAAAGGTAGTCAAGCCCCATAATGAGAAATTCGCCCCATCTTCCCTGTTACAATAAAAATGTTTGAGAAAACTTAAACTTCAACAAAGATGTTTTTGATAATAATTTAATTAACAAAAACTATATTTTCATAAACATTAAAATTGCATTGTCAACAACTTTAATTAAACACGCGTTTTACATAGAAATTGGACACTCGTAAAAATATACAGAAACATGATATATACAGTATATTTAAAAGTCCTTTTGTTTAACGTTTTCCTATTTCGTGTTATCCACATAGCCTGCCAAGTTCACACGGGTGACTTGTAGCCCTTTATACAGTAAAAAAAAATACTAGTACTGTCTTTAATTATTAAAATTTCCAGGAAGCAAGGACCCTTCTTCCTGAAAATATTAAATCACGTTTTCTCCTTTCACCAACATCGTTAGAAAAAATGGAGCTGAATATTACAATTTCTATCACTGACTTCTGTAACAATTTTCTCTCGGTCCCTTGAGATCATTACAGTCTCAAACTCTTCATCATCAGGGAGAAGTTTTTGCCCCAGTACGTCATGGCCTTCAACAGCCTCTCGATATTTTTCCTTTGATGACAGATTGCCCTGAAAGTTAAAGCAAAGACGTTCTGTAGAAACAACGTTTAATGGATTTATTTGTGTATATTCTGGTATATCCTCAAATCATCCTTACCTTGTCAACAGCTTCATAGAAGGTACCGCGGATTAGTTTGACGACATTAGGTGTATTAAAATCTCCATTTCGGACAAAATCGCTAAAATTACCTAGAATTGTGTAAATCGTGTTAAAATATATATAAATTGTGCAGAGTGGGATAATTCTATAAACATTGCATCTATAGTCTTAAAATTTCTTTATGAACTTTATTGATTGCAAAGTTCCTTTTACGAAGTTGATAAAAAAATTGGCGATGAGTTAAAAAAATCAGTTAATTTAAGACGCTACCTGGGTTGTATGATTCCATAACCTTTTTGTTGTCTTTGAATTCAGCACCAAGCAGATCGCACAACATCCTTCTGATCATGTGAGAAATTCCAAATTTATCAGTTTCCAGCTGGACAGAAGACTTAACATCAGAAATGCTTGAATTAAGTATGGCTGCGCAAATCGTCACCAAAGTCATAATTACACAGACACTGTACACAAAATAGAAAACTTGTGCAAGAACCGGAGCAGCCCTTATCATAGAACTTACTTTATTTTTTCCAATGAAACTGTTAGATAAAGTTCCACAAGTATACAGAAAAGATTTATAATCCTCAAGCTCTCTTCCAAGTAATAAAGTGCCCAGTATCACAAACCCAAAAAATGTTAAAATGAAAATGATACTAAAGCCTAATATGTCATACCCAGCATAAGAAATGACAGAAATTACTTGTGTAAGTCGCTTGTTATAACCCAGAACTTTGAGAAGTTTGATAGTTGAAAGAAAAATCACAAGCGAAAACACAACATTCAAAACATTATCCCAGATAATGATGTGATTAAAGTTAATAAACTGATTTGCATCAGTCAATTTATCATCGTAAAAGAGCCGCATTGCCTTTTGTGCATAAATTATACGTACAATATAGAGACACAGAGATGAAATCCCTAAAACCACTATCGACAATGTTACACAATTCCACGGAACTCTTAAAAACTGCAAACATCCTCCCCGTCTCAATTTGTTTAAGATTTTTATTAATAGAAAGAAGATATAGGCAATAAATACGACATAAAATAGAACCAACCCTGGTCCTGCTGAACTAACAAAAGCAACTGGGCGGAAAGCTTGAGATTGTAAAGTTACAAAAATACCCCCTGTTTCTAGGAATTCTGTTAAGTACTTAGAAGTGAGAAACATATTTGAATTCGGGTTGTACAGAGTGTATTCTATAAATACTGCACGAGTGCCTCTGTCGATCCAGTTATAGTTGCTAATTTCGTTCAACATCATACGAGCCTGATATCTGTCTTTTGTAAATTTTATAAGGTATCCACCACCATCGTAAGTATTATACTCGCCGGTATATGGTATGCCCCAGATGTCTTCTGCGCTAGTGTAGCTCCAAGACGTTTTGGTGAAATACCGGTCACTTTCCGTCTCTTCTAGACAGGAAGGATTCAGTTTCTTCCATCCTATGCAATACTGTGAAGTATCAGCTTCAGCGATTGAGTAATGTTCATAGCATGGATACGATGGAATTAAATTCATAACAGGACATGCATCTTTAAAAAATAAAAAACACGAAACAGTTATTGGTGATGAAACAAACACTCTTACTTCTTTCTGCTTAAATGAATATTCAGATAACACCAGTGATTTTGGATAACTTGGAACATCTTCACAGATGAAAAGAACACGTTACAGAAACAAGGTTAACTCTGAGCGTTACACAATTATAACCAGTTGAGTTTTTCATTGTCAAAGTGACTTGGATTCTGGATCATATAGTGCCTTCGTTAATTAAAACATTCCTTTTGCCAAGTATGATCTTTGAATGCTGTTCCATGATAAATTAATTGTCTAGAAATGAATTGTTTAATAATCTTAATTCCAATTAGCTCCAAGTATTTTGTCTTAAAAGAAAATCCGAATGATCATAAATATTATAATCTTAATTTGATTGATCACAAGTAAGGGTAGAAAAAATCTTTTTTATAAGTATAGAAAAATTTCTCAAAATAATTTAAAAAGAGACCATTCACAGAATTGTAATTCTTTTACCAAACTTTGATGTAAGAGACTTATTAAAGTATTCAAAAACAATTACAAAATATGTATTCACCTGTTTTCATTCTTAATTGGCGCAGCTGAGCGGGACCAACTCTTATACTAGACCTGTCACCAAACCACTGTTTCTCCAAGGTATCAAGGTCATTATCTGCATAATCTTTTTCCGGGTAGAATGTTGGAATGAAGGTGTCATTTAACCAGGTAACAACATCTGGTATTTCTCTTATCTGAAAAATAATTCGGTAATTCTTTAAAAGTTAAAATTTGCTTGGTAGGTAATTATTCGTAGCAACATATTAATTTTTGTGTTTTACTTAATAATATACCAGTAATATCATAATTAAATTCTGAGTAAATAAATGCACTAACTGAAGACAAATCACCAGTTTGAAGATAATTGTCTATATTATTCTTGTAGGAATAAGAGTTGGTATCCCTCTCAACAAAGCTGATGGTGTAAATTGCCAATAGAAAAACAACATTTAAAATAAGACTTTTAACAGCTTTCTTCACTCTCTTTTCTTGTTTGTATTGTTCTCTGATTTTATTTATATCTTGTTCTCCGAGGGGTTCTTGTTTGGAGAGTACTCTGCTGGCAAAAACTGTTGAAGAAAAAAAAAAAAACCTCAATCATCTAAAGGTCATTTTATCTATAGTACTTATTGAGACTTATTGAATTCAATTCAGAGATGAGTCTAAAATAAATAATTTACAAATAACTACATAAAAAACTCAGAAAACAAGAGAAATAGAAATACTACCTGCAAAATCGTATTTGTGAGATAAAATCTGTTTATTCGAGTATTTCTTAAGTTTTTGCAGGGATATATTTGATGATTCCTCAGACATGGCTGTCTTTAATAGTGTAGCAAATAAAACGGCCATCAAAAGAACCTGAAAAGCAATATGTAAATGAACAAAATCCTGTATTATATATAAGCTCATACATGTAGTTTTTTGTCATGGATCAATAAACAGATAAAAGAAGTTATTGTTGTTTTCATGTATCTCAACATGAAAAATAAATCCAAATGACTTTTTTAAATAAAAGGTTTTTTTAACATTTAAAAAAATCATATCTGTTCTTCTTTCTAACTTTGCTTCAAAATAAAATAAATCAAGGTAACAATTACTCTTCTTCGTTGGTAATCGTTATGGTGAAAACACCCAAAATAATACAAATATTTATAAAAACTCTCCTTTCTCAAATGTCTTCTAAATAAGACCTTAATATCTGATTCAATTAAATCTAAATATAATTATGAGCTGAATAGGTTTGAAAGTATTTAAAAAAATGAAGTTGAATTAAACCTTCAAAGGATCCACTAAAACAACGGATTCTAGGAAAGACAAAACAAAGGATAACAGCCATTCCTCTGATTTCTCTTTTCCCCATTCCATGCTGTATAAAATGAGAAAAAATGCTGAACTCAACACAGTCAACGCAAGAAAGATCCATGCAACATAGACAACCCAGTAGGGTAAGCCGTCTTCCTTTTCATTTACGACATCTGGAGGAATCGAAAAACCATTTTTGCTTTCTTCTGAGCCTGTATGCACACACTTTTTAATCTTCCTTTTGCGGAAAAGCATAGCCAATAGTAGCACAGGCAGAGTTGTGATAATTATGCTCATAAGAGAAACGTATAGTATTGATGGTGAAAACTGAAAACCTCCGAATTCAACATAACTTTCCGACGTGTCGTCTGATGGAGACTTGTAGAACATTGCATTTGATACCATGTTCAAATGAAGAAGCGCGAGTAGACACGACAATCTCTGTACTCTGGTAAACTTAGTTTTCTTGGGACGGTAAACTAATGACAACCACATATGATGTTCTGTTATATTGACTTGAAAATTCTTCGGAAAAAGAAAATGAAATGACTTTGCCACATCTACTGTAGCTACTCCAATTATTCGGTCGATGACGCAATCATCTTTGTAGAGGGACAACCATTTATCACAAGCAAATATATATCTGCAAAAGAAAATGTTAAACTTTTATATAAAAAGAAAACATCGCCAAAAGTAAAAACAAGAGGCCCATGGGCCACATCGCTCACCCGAGCAATGTGGCTAGGAAAAAAACATAAGTTTATTATTGAAAAGTTGAAACCCAATAGTGCTCCCAAACAATCCTTAAAAGAGAGAGGGTATGATTTGAACAAACTTGAATATACACTAACTAAGGAAGCTTGCATATTTCTTTAAATACCTGTGGCTTTATTGCCCTTTACATTTGAACTTACATTGTGGCCCCGCCCTACCCCCAGGGGTCATGACTTGAACAAATTGGATCTACACTACCTGAGAATGATTTCATATGGATAGGACTAATCGTGGCTATGCTATTTTTGAAAAGAAGATTTTTAAAGGTTTTTTCTACATGTTTCTATGTAAAACTTGGATTCCATGTTGTGGCCCCGCCCTACCCCAGGGGTCATGATTTGGACAAACTGGAATATCCACTACCTGAAGTTGCTTCCAAAAAAATATGATCATTCCTGCCTTTGCTATTCCAAAGAAGAAGATTTTAAAAGAATTTTCCTATATATTTCTATGTGAAACTTTGATTGGCCATTGTGGCCCCGCCCTGCCCCCGGGGTCATGATTTGAACAAATTTGAATCTCCACCTCCTGAATATGCTTCCATAAAAATATGATCATTCATGCCTTTGCTAATTCTTGAGAAGATTTTTAACGAATTTTCCTATATATTTTTATGTAAAAATTTGATCGGCCATTGTGGCCCCGCCCTACCCCCAGGGATCTAAAATGTTAGAAGGAGATTTTTAAAGAATTTTCGTACATATTTCTATGTAAAACTTTGATCGGTCAATGTGGCCCCGCCCTACCCCCGGAGGTCATGATTTGAACTAACTTGAATATAAACAACCCGAGGATGCTTACCTATTAGTTTCATCTTTCCTGGCACAGTGGTTCTTGAGAAGAAGATTTTTAAAGAATTTTCCTATATATTTCTATGTAAAACTTTGATCGGCCATTGTGGCCCCGCCCTACCCCCGGGGGTCATGATTTGAACAAATTTGAATCTACACTACCTGAGGATGCTTCCCTATAAGTTTCACCTTCCTGGCACAGTGGTTCTTGAGAAGAAGATTTTTAAAACATACTATCAAATTTTCATATTTCTGAATTATCTCCCCTTGAATAGGGGCATGGCCCTTCATTTGAACAAACCTGAATCCCCTTTACTTAAGGATTCTTTGTGCCAAGTTTGGTTGAAGAAGTGAAAATGTGAAAAGTTAACGACAACGATGACGACAACAACGACGACAACAGAAAACGGACAAATTTTGATCAGGAAAGCTCACTTGAGCCTTCGGCTCAGGTGAGCTAAAAAAAGATTTTAAAAAATATTTTTAAAAAAACATCATTCTACAACTTGTGGAGAACTTAAACTGAAGTGTCAACTGCTGGTCATAGAACTTAATATTCTTCTGAAGTGCCTTTTTTTATCTTCCTTTTGCAGTAAGCATTGTCAATAGTAGCAATAGAGTTGTGAAATTATTTTCATCATTAGTATTGATGGCAAAACTGAAAACCTCCGAATTCAACATAACTTTCTGACGTGTTGTCTGATGGAGACTTGTAGAACATTGCATTTGATACCATGTTCAAATGAAGAAGTGCGAGTAGACAGGATAGCCTCTGTACTCTGGTAAACTTAGTTTTCTTTGGACGGTAGACTAATGACAACCACATATGGTGTTCTGTTATATACTTCCAAAATTTATTGATGTTTTAAATGGCCATACTGTAGCTACTCCGACGGTCATGACGCAATCAAAATAACATTTATCACAAGCAAATGTATACCTGCAAAAGAAAATGTAAAACTTTCATATAAAAAAAGAAGACATTGTTAAAAGTTAAAAAACGATTAAAAGAATAAATATATCTGTTTGCTTTTCATGTCAGATTATGAAACCCCCAAATTTTAATGGTACTTTGAATTAAGATAGCTGACAAGGCATACAATACGAATTCATTTTAAGAATTTTGTCTGATATTTTGAGGATGACGCTTAATTAAAAACTCACTTTTCATTTGTTTGAAGGTCTACTATTTCAATATTGCTTAAGAACCAGTCTTGAAGACTCCCTTTTCCAGAATTATCGTGCCATATTCTTAAAAACTGTAATGTTCCCAAATTCGATTTTGTTCCAAAAAGGAATGTAAAAACACTTCCTGTCGTAAATGTCTGTAACAAACAAGGGTATAACTTAATTCTCAATCTTGTACTAAGAAGAACAACTAATACAACCGACATCAAAACAGTTAAATAATTATTATAAATATTAAATTAATTAATGATTATAATTGAAATTGAATTAACATAAAATTAATTTTCGTGTCATGTCTGTAAATTAAACTATTGGAAAACGTTGATACTGTGATGATAGTGTAAATTTTAAAATCATAAGAATGAAATCACCTCTCGCTCTCCGTCGTTTAAAATACGAATGCCGGTATCATCCTCGGTGCCAGTGAGTACGAAATGGATATTTGATGATGTACCCGCGTGTCTTCTGAACCCCGTAGTAACGGTCAGCGTGTAGAAGTATTCGTCCTGGGAGTCGTGATCGCACAAAAAGGAAATCCTCCACTGAAGGAAGAAATAATCCTGTGACAGTTTAATTGTTTAAATAGGAACGACTTCTTTCTAGTTCTAGATAGTCTGTGATATTCTCCCTTTACAAATACTCTAATCCAAAAGTAATGATTAACTATAAACAGTAAATTGTCTAAGTTTAAAATATATACTAAGCGTTATTTTTGTTTAAAATCATCATTTCGTAAGTTCTATGGTCAATACAATGACTTTGTCCGCAATAACAATATCCCATTAAGTCAAATGCTGACTGAAGTTTTTCATGCTTATTGTTAGTCCATTATTTATACATTGAATTGACGACAGAGTTTTCCGTTATTTCCCGATCATGACGGGGAGCACAACCGGTGGCAATATGCTCACTGTCCATGGCACCTGATCCCACCTCTGATGTTTTGGAGGTCCGTGTTTGCTCTGCTCCTATTTTGTATTGTTATATGGACTTTGATATTGAATACTGTTCGTTATCTCCATATCCTTCATTTGATAAAAAAAAACAAAACAAATTACTAGTGTTGGCAACGAGTACCCGGTTAACCGGTTAACCGTTGAACAATGTGAGTATCGGTTAGTAAAACTGCTATTCGGTTACTCGAATAAAATAAATTCTTCACAGTAAAATGCATAGAAAATGAATGTTTATAATTGATAAATGTACACTGTGTCTTACATATTTCCCTAATTTTAGGTACCGTTAGACTTGATGTAGTGCATGGTTGTAGTGGATCAAAGTGTTTTGATTAGTTTTCACAGTTTATATAATTGATTGCTTTGATTAATTGCTTTGGGGTATACAACTTTTGACGGCCTGAATTATGATTACCCCATTCGATAATCTAACGAGATGCCGTCACAGACATATTAAGCTTGGAGTTGTAATAAATGAACAGCTGATTCAAAATCTGTTCAATTACTTAAGCTTAAAATATTATTAGGAAACCAGAGATTAGCAGGACACTCCACAAACTATTAATTAAGGAGCCTGTAAATTATTATTCTCATTGATTGCGACATATTTCGGGGGGCTGAAAAGAAAAGCATAACCAAAGTTATTGTAAAGTGGTGACTGACGATGTGTTTATTTGTCTTCTTCATGTGTCAAAATCCTTATTTTCTTAAATCATATGAATAAAAATTCTTTGATGATATCGTATGTGTGTATAGTAAATATAATGTCCATATACAGTATATTTGTGTATAACTACTACCGATAAAGTGAATTACTACTACCGATAAATAAAGAATAAGATAAATAGTAGATATGGATACTTTTACTGAGAATCATCCGAGTAACCGGGTACTCGATGAAGCGAGTGAAGATGAAGATGAAGCGAGTAACCGGTTACTAAAAATCGTCCGATTTGCCAACACTACAAATTACTAGTATGCAAGTTGCATATGCTTCATGCATTTATTAATAGTCTAACCCTATTCATATCTTTTTTATCTTCCCTTTTCAGTAAAAGCAATGCTGCTACATAAAACACCATTAACACGATCAGCGAGCCATACACAGCCCCATTCTTTGGATCAAACTTCCCCCAGACTGTCCGGAAATCTATTGCGTTTGGTGGAACGACAAACGTTGTAGAGAAGGTATTGCCAGGGCACCTGCACACGGTATTGTTTATTGTTGACAACGGTAGAACCTAGAGTAGTGTATTGTGAAAAACATGAGGTTAGTAAAAATAATATTTGCTCAGCATTTGTGAAAACATTTTCATAAAAGATAAGTACAAAATGAGATTTTTTAAAAATCATTATGTTACCTTGCAATAGAACATTATATAGTGTCTTACAATAAATTTTTAGGTATTATCGAAAATATCGATTATATAAATGTATGCCAATTTTTAACAAAAACAAAATATTGGAAATGTTTTTCTTGGAAGATCCACGTAGTATTCACATGACGATTTTTCTCTACGAGTTATTTCCGTTGGCCACCATCATTGTGGTCAACCTGGTAGTTTTTCCTCTTTGTCTTACCAAATTTAAGAGGTTGTATCAGAAAAATTTGGAGAACAATCTTTATTTAAATAAAAATCATGAAATAAAGGAGGCTTTAACTATTGTATATTTTAGAGAAAAACAATTCTTCCTACCACACAATCGCCAGTATGAATAATGAAGGAATATAAGCATGTTGACCTCCAATATGGCGGCCAAGGAAAAATACCTCTTTTTAATTTGGGCCTACTGAAAACTATCTATTCAGCATTTTTTGACGATAAACCTATTCTTACAGTGCAGCTATCAGATATCCAGGCTTGTTTAACCCTGTCCCATGATCTGCAAGTTGTGGTAATTACAAGAAGTTGAAAGTTAGGGGACAGGGTTTCATTTTGCTCATTCTTTTTTTCTAAGTCTCGGACAAGTTCTGCAACTGTAAATATTAAAAGACTTTACTTTCAAACATGCAGAAATGGTAAAGATAAAATGTACACAATAAAGAAATAACTATAATCTTAAATCATTTGAATTATCCGTCTTTGAGTTCTTATGATTTTTAATCTAACTTTGGGTAAAAAAAAAGAAAATCAATCATCAGTTCTTAGAATCTTTTTCTTTTGATTGATATTTTAGTACAAACCTCCTAATGGTTGTATTCCGAGATAACAGTGGCCTTTTAAACAAACGCCCGATGGAACAAAAACTTTAAATCCATATTCTTCATCCCAGTTTCTTACCGTGGTGGACGCCTGGAAGCCATTATCCTTCGTCGAATAATTTGAAGGAAATGGATTTTCAGAAATATATATTTCAAACAAAGAAAGCCTGGACAAATCCAAAGTAAAATTTTGAGGCTTTAAAAAGATAATTATGACGTCATCGTCATTTGATACAGTAAACTTGTAAAATATCATCTCATCAGTCAGTTGTCCTTGGAATAATCGAAGAAATGAATTATTTGTGTTGTTGACCTTGTTTTCTAAATTAAGTTCTAGCTGTAAATTATTATTATCCGAGTTATTTCCAAAGTGAAATACGAATACATCTGACGTCAGGGAACTGGAATTTCCACCAAATATAAATGGATTTCTTTTGTATACAATAACCTAAAAAAAGAAAACTCTGAAAATGTAATGAACAAACTTTCACTATTGTGACATATCCGAAATTCACAATAAATACCCATCAATGTAAATACCTCTTATATTGAATCAAAGGAGAAAAAAAGATATATAAGCCATCCTATTTTCTGGTGAATTTCGAATTTCTTAATTATAAGTGCAAAAGTAAAACAGAAAATTAAAAAAAAAATGTAAGAGCTAAATGATATGTATATACAGCTGAACCCGAGTCAACCAGTAAATATTTTTCGTTGATATACTGTGGATTTGATATAACATTAAGTATATATTCTAATTATGTGTACGGTACAGTATTTGTTGTTGAGTAATATACGAGTACTGCTACTAAGATGTAGACGGAATATGTAAGATACAAATTTAAAACCATGCTCTTACCATTACATTCAGTAACGTATTCGGATTGGAGAATGTATTATTCAGGTTACTTAGTCCAAGAATATATGAATTCTTCATGTTATTGTTGATGTAAGTTTCTCTGAAATCACCATATGTTGTTTTGTCTGTTATTAATTTAATCAGAGGTTTCTGAAATTCCAGTTTCTCTCCCGTCACTATTGTTTCTAAAGTCAAAAGCTGAACATCCATTATGGTGTCTTGTATTCTTTGAAAGTATTCACTCATCTGAAAAAAGAACAGTAATATATTCACAACTATTTTTGCAAAATATCTGAGCTGCTTGAAAATAAAATTTCTTGATAAATTAAAAACATTTTTTTGCATAAAATATTTATTATCTAGACAAGATCAATAAATTAGCATGAGTCATATTATTCTTATTCAATCAAATTTAAAAAAAAAATCATATAAATTTAGTTATATTAAAGATCTTATTTTTGTTTGGAGACTCACTATCTCTCGCTGTATAGTGGCGATTTCTCTTTCATAGGTTCGAAGTTCAAACAGCAACTCAGCTTTTTCTCTCAGTCGATGAGATATACCATCTGTTCTCTCTTGCACGATTAGGTTTGTATCAATATGTGTGCCAAATATATGGACTAATTCGGATAGAACACTTAAAAATGATAATTCCTCATCGAAGTCAATCCATTGCTTCGGAATCAGAACTTCTATCAGGTTATTCAAAATTCTAACGAAATCTGAAATTAAATAGCTTTTTCATTATAAAAGAGAAATGCATGTAAAAGGAGTGGAACTTTCCACCAAAAATTACGCTTAAGTAATTTGTTTTCTTCATCCAAGCTTACTACGTAAATAGATTAACATCAACGATTTTGAAAGATCTTTATTCTTTTTACAAGAAAAAAAAGAATCAGTGCTTACGACAATATAAAAGAAAGAAATCTTACGGTTGACAATTTCATTTAGAGTTGAAACATCATGGTTACGTAGCGGAAGTTCTGTGTGCTTTACTCTTGACACAAAACATTGGGATATGTCCAGAAAAACCCGTAATATGTTTCTCTGAAAATAGCAAATTATTTTTATTTTCTACAAAATTCTCTTTTCAAATACATTTTATAGATTAGGCTTTTAATAAATCAACTATTAACAAAAAAATCTAGGAGAATCGTTTCCGGCAGAAGTATTAACTGACAGATTAGACCAGACCTGTTTACTTTCTTTATATTTATCTATCAACATTTAATTACTAGTACATAAAATGCCAAATGAACTTACCAAAGAATTAAACTTTATATATATGGTGTGTCTGACCACTGCATCAATTCCACTAAGTATCGATGAAATTTCCGACAAACTGTAGATCTTATACGACAGATCGGACACATTTTTAACATCCTCGACCATGATATTGGTTATATTTATTAGGAACTGCAAATGGGATAAATGATAATGAGAACAAATAAACATGACTTTAAAGTACTAAGTGCATCTGTTAACATTTTGAAGCTTATGCTGAAGCCCCAAGACTTGAAAACATAGTTAAAGGTTTACAACTATCACAATGCTGAAAGACAACAGTCAAATTTCAACCAGAAAAGCTTACCTGAGCTCTGCTAGCATAATAAAAACCATTGAAAAGTCGCAAAACATTAAACATGTAAGCCAAGAGTTTTCGGTTCGCTTTACTCAATGATGGACCAAAAACCTGGAACTTGCAAAGTTGCAGAGCATGAAAGAAGTGTCTAATTCGTGCTTAATATACAGTGTATTTTCGAAATAAATGTAAACATTTGTACCAGCAAATCGAGATGAATTTATGTTTTACAGTTGCCTAAGCACTTGCAAAGATATACTTATACCCGCATACATTTTCATAAAGTATCTCCACATCAGACTCTTCGTATAATGTCACGTGATCGACAGATCCACCAATGATATCCTCTGGCGTTGTTGTATTCATTTTCTTATCGTGGTAAAAAAAATAGTCTTGTTAATTATATTCTTTTTCAATAACCGCAAATCAAATAATTGTATAAACATTTTTTTATTACGTATAAGTAAAAAAGTAAAAATATTGTCTTTGGGCTCTTACGTTTGGATATTTATGGATCATAGACGCAATGGACGCAATGTATCTAAATGTCCTGACATTATCACCGCCTGCAGTCATGGGACCTATTTTATCATTAAAGGTGGTTATCAGGAGCAATGCTTTAGTCACATCTTCTCCATTGACAGGTACATAAATTTGAGGTGCTTCAATCTGTTAATATTTTACATCAAATAGCGTTATGAAAAAGATGAAAATCCAATAAAATGTATAGATAAATAGGAAATGAAAAAGATCTAAATAATTTTTAAATTTCGTTTGACTTTATATCAATTATTATTGGTAATAACGTATAAGAAGTCTATCAAATTTGACTCAATTTGCACTTACTGTAAAATGTTTTTCAACCACTTCATAGTCATAGTAAATATCATAAATCTTGATCTGAACCGTAACATTGTTGTCAAATTGTATATCTCCTACTTGTATCGGCAGATTAGATATAGAAGGTTCCCCTACAAAAAAGTAGACTTATCTTCTACACTTTTTTACATCGAATATCAAATGTTTGTACATGAAAGATTCTGATTTGAACAGCTTCTTTTTTTAAATCTTTAATCAATGATGTTTTTCAGATTTTTATATATTTCATTTCTACATGTTTCCGTGTACAGAGGACCGATATAAAACATTGATCAAAACTATATTTAAGATTTCACGCGATTAAAATAATTCTTTGAGCTGACTAAATTATTTAAATGATAATTTTCTGGGGTTTTTTCTTTTGTAATTTTAAACCGATTGCCATTTACCTCTCTCCTAACTCTTTTAAAATTATCTATCAAGAAACACAATCACACACACAAGAAAGCCATTAAACGTAACATAAGTTCTTCCTTTCTACACGATAATACCTGCATTGTTCTTAAAAAATGAAAATATAAATTATGATTAATTTAAAAAATATTATTATTATGACAATTGGTTTTTCAGTCAGTTATGCAATTTTTATCTGCAAAAGTTGCCAGTGTTCATACCTACATGAATTTTTACATGGGAAAATTTATTGATCCTAATTCTTTTACTGAACAAATTACTAAATGGTCGTTTTGCTATAAATATAAATCTTTAAATCTATTTGTATGTATACTGTAACGGAAGAGCATTTTATTTTAAATCATATAAAATGTTTGAACTGATTTAGTCATCGCTAGTCCAATGCAAGTTCTTAAGAAATTGTACCTCTGACCACTCGTTCATGCAATAAGCTTGTTTTTTTAAGAACCCGTGAAAGCAGTTTACCCGGTGAGATCAGAGTAAAAAGGGAAGAGTTTAGTTCTCAGCTTCGTCCAATCTGTTACTCTCCTTAATTGTAAGTGCATGTTCAGCAAATAGACTTTAATAGCAAATGTTCGTTAAATAAATGTATGAATGAATGAAAGAAAGAAGGAATGAATGAATGAATACTATTGCGCTTAAAAGATTATGAAAACAAAAAGCCCCCCCCCCCCCCGACGCAATGGAATTATTGTTTGGGGTTTGTCACCATCCGCACTAGCGTATTTTTTAAACATTTATTTTTATTACACCACTTTAATTGCGAATGTTGGACTATGACAATTTGTAAATTGAAGTGTTTTAAATCTTTATCGACAGTAGAAAAAAATTCAATAAAGTACATTTAACCTGCATGTTTAATTATTTATTCAATTAATGCAGTACATGTATTAAGTAAACTATTTAATTATTGTGTGTCTAAGGCCGTTAATTTCATCAGTCACCTATTATTTAGAAATAATTCTGAAAATAATGGGGTGCTCTATTAACCGCATTTTTTTTTTTAATAAAACACACCCTCTCCGAACACGTATATCTGATATTAAACGACAAATCCTTTTTTTTTTAAATTATAACATAAAAAATCAGTAAAAAATGATAATTGAGCAATTTTATTTATTGAATCTGTTAGCTTTGATTCAAGTTCAAGTTCATTTATTCACTCAAAACCATTAATAGTCTAGTATGCTAAATTATTTGATATGATCAAGAATTTTAAAATGCGTAATTTGGCCTTAATGGGCCGGAGAATGTTCATCTTGGTGTGAATTCTACTTAATTAAAGTTATGTTTTTAATTGCAAATGGCCATTCATGGTCTAACACTAATTACGTCTGTAGCGGATAACCTCACGGTTTCCTGGAGTCTGTGTGGTTGAGATAGTCACTGCTGACAGTACTAAAATATACTGTACAGTATTAGTAAAATACTTCAATTCCCCCTTTACAATACTGACTGCGCAAAATCTCGATTCAGATCCCATTGATAACAGAATATTAATATGCAAATATGCAACTTGTATTCATGTAAAATACTAACTCATTCAAGAAAAACATTCAAGTATCATAAATATGTTTCATTAAAAAGATTTGCTATATAATGTTTAAATAATCAATAAAAAAAAATTGGCCCGGCCAACTTGAAATAAAAATGATTGATTGTCTTCTCCTGAAAGATTTGCTAAAAGACAGCAACTTAAAATTGTTTAAACCTCAAAAAAAAAAAAAAAAAGAAAAAGAAAGAATATAAAGAAGAATAAAGCAATTTTTTTCAAGTAATCCGGATATGACAAAATTAATATTGAATAGAATGAATGAATTAAATACTTCATTATGAAACGCAGAGAACAAGCAAACATTTTTTTTAAAGTTGGCCTTGTACTGTGTTTCACCCTCTTGCTAGTATATACTAGTTTTGATCAGACATTGATCTTTTGTGTCACCCTTAGTGACAGCCATTTGGTGCATATAATTGTCTTGCTGATTCTATAGAAAGATGACGCTTATCAGTAAATTTCTTTTATTGCAGTATCAAAATTGGGAATTCAGTTTCATTGAGTACAAAACAAAACATCAACATTCAAATAGTCATGATAACAAACATAATTATACATTTAACAGGTAACACATCATGATCATGGATTGGAGACAAATTTCTTTACTTTCTACAAACAACATTTAAGATATCTGAGAATGCTGTTCTTATTTGACTGTATCTTATAAAGTAGTTAAATGCTGAATTGGAAAAAAGGACTCTTACATTTCATTTCTCAATTTTGTTAAAATATCAATAAAATGCATACAAAAAAAATGTGGTCTAAAAACATGAAAATGAAGGGGAAAAATCTTGAACGAATTTCAAGGTACTTTCTTCTATAAGCATAAATCTGAGTTTGAAAATTAAACAAGAGTGTAACTTTGTGTTTGGTAACTTTGGTTCATTTTCTCTGTACAAGAATTCTTGCAAACAATATACCATACACCATAATATAGAGTCTCAAGACGTATTATTTGTATTCACATATCTCCCTGAAAGCAAAGACATCATATGAACATAAACAGTCATGTATCCCACTAAGCATTGATAATCCAGACACCACGGTCTTTCACATGAACAAGAGGTCTGCTGATGACACTTACATGGAAAAGCTGCTGTCCAAGTACACTTTCCTGGAAGAGGAAATACTTTCCAACTTTTTCAGCAATTGGATACACATCTACAATAACCCAGTTTTGGACTGCTCCACACAATACATGTTCAAGAAAAAAACATATTCGTCCAAACAGAAGTCCGCCACTTCCAGGAAGTTTCACGATTGACGGTTCTCTGCGTCCCTTGAATCTAGTTCCAATATAGCGGATCTGTCGGCCACAATCATCTGTAATGTCCAGTGTTGAATAGTTCTCTGTCACTTCGGATGAAAACTGCACTGTGCTCAACTTGAGGTTTAGAAGATAAAAGTTCATCATGAACTGTCTCATTTCTGGTGTGATTTGGGATGTGGTATTCTTCTTTGTGTGGTTTTCTTGAGAAGAAACACTGAATCCATCTCTCATCTGTTCCATGATCTGCTGACTAGTTTTTACAAGGGTCTTTTCATTGGTGGACAGGTCGCAAGGGTTGAACCTTCCACTCAGTATCATATATACACACCAGTCGTAGATCTAAAAACCAAAATAGTAAAGTAAATAAACTAGCTTTGGAAATGAGGATATTTTCTTTAAACTTTACATGATGACCATTTGTGGCCAATTTCTTATCATGTACAGTGAGATATTAATTAACAGTATTAAGAAACATAAAACTGAACACAATGCCTTATTTCTTAGACATACAAGATAGTGAATAAGGCAATTTGTGGGGAAAAATATTAAAAAAAATTTGATTAACATAAACTCAAAAATTTAGTCCTGGGAATTTTCTCTAAATGCTTAATTCACAAAATATGATTTTTGTATGTGTGAAGCTAAAGGCATTCTGCAGGCCTTGTTCACTTATCTCCTTTATCACGAAGACATTTCATGTGCACTTTGCATGCACTTGTTTCATATTGTCTGCTTATAATACAATAAAGATTTTTTAAAAATTAAACTTACTGTGACTTTTAGAATATTAGACATGTTAGATGATCATATATGTACTTTCATGCTAAACTGTTGAAACTGTTTGACATTTGAGCATTTATTAAGCTAAAAATGGTATATATAGTCAACATTATATTAAGATCGACTGTATTAAAAAGGTTGAATCAATGATATTCATAAAAATTTCCGACTTACCACATATGTTTCCATGACTGTGGATTCTTCCATTCCCTTCCTTAGACACTGTCTTGTCACCCATCCATTAGCCCTTTCATAAGGAAACAACCATCGACCATACATGGGTCCGTAGTTTGCCAAATCATCCACAATGTGGTGAATGAGATGAGTAGTAAGGTTCTGAAATCCAGATTAAAAATATTATTGCTATGTCCCTGGTTACGAATAATTGATAGGAAAAAAATAAAAAACATTTTTTTTAAATTCAGTGTAACTTATTACGTGAGTCCCATAACTAAAAATATTGACTTAATTAAGCCCTCATTCTCTTTTAACATTGTTACAATTGATTGCAATATCTCATTTCAAAAGCCTTTAAATAGTAAATTTCTTTTTGTATATTTTGAAGCCCAAGAAAATCTACTTTGAATATGGACATGTACTGATATTAAATTGTGCAAATTACATATAATATTTTACCTGAATTGCCAAAGGAAAATCTCTCTCTAGAAGTGATAGCGCTTCATGTGTGTCTGCCTGGAGCTGGGCAATGTCCAGAACGGTCAACTTGGGTGACACAATTCTTCTTATAACACCGCAGATGTGTTCCAGAGTTCTTTCTTGAGAAATAGGAAGAAGATCTTTGATGCACCATTCAAAAGCCCCAGAGGTGACAAACTGCAAAAATACAATATCAACAAACCATTGTAAAAATCACAAGTAAAATTCATAACGATTTTGAAAATATAAACATACATATGTACTTATGCTCTAAAATTATTTTGATTTCATCTTGCTTCTTCTATGTAAACAATGGTTTAAAAAATAGTTTCCTACATGCCTTAAAATTTATATTTCAGCGACATACATGTATTAATTCTACTACCTCATAAAAATACTTGTGTGTAATTTCTTGATGACACTTTTAAAACATTTTAAACATAGAAAATAAACAGAGCACTTTTCAGATTTTTTTTTACACTCTTAATAGCATATTACTACCCGGTATTATACAAAAAATATTAACTAACCTGTAGTTTGGCATTCATTGTCCTTAAGGTCCAGAGCTTGGTAAAATGTGGCCCAGGGGTGATTTCATGTGAGTGGCTGTACACTATGGAGGAAGCTCTTTCGTCTGCAGTTTTAATCTGCTCCTTCGAGAGTGACCATGGTGTTGAATCAACTAATGTCTGTTCACTTTCAACATTTCTTTTCTTCTTCTTTTTTGGGCGATCAATACTGGCTTGCTCCTCGGCAGCACTTTTCCATACTTCATCAAAGCGACCAAAACTCTTTTCGCAGGACATAACTTTTTGTGTATTCTGCTTACCAACTAGCATTTCCATCAGATGACTAATAAAGTCTGCCAAGGTATGCATCCCATCTGGTGACATTTGTCTCATCCTGTCATGGTAAGGAAGCTGCTGTAGAATATAATTTCCTTTCAACCCTGTTGACTTCTGTTGGTTTGCTTTCTGTGTTTTGTTTGGTTTCAATTCATACTGGGTGCGCATTCTGTTCTCCTCCTCCTGAGTATAAGGACTTGGTTTGCTTCTTTCTTCTTGTCCATCTATGGCAAATCCACTGGCACTCCTCAGAGGATGACCAAAGGGAAGAAACTGTCTGTTTGAAATGTGAATCGTCTTCCTCAAGTGCTTACAATAATGTCCTGTTTCTCTACAGTACGGACAAGATCTCAAACTTGCATGGCCGGTCAAATGCATCACCTTGGAATAGGCTGGTATGTCACACAAATACTGCAGTAGGGCCACTTTAACTGTCGTTGGAGCTGAGCGGTAAGAATCATACACTGGGAACTCTGTTAGAGTTAAAAGTTCATCTACCACGATGGATAGGTATGGATCCAATGACTTTGGTTCGCTGCCATTTACACCACTTGGTATGATTCCCATAAGGAGCATTGGTCCAAGTAATTGTCGGATTGATGGGGGCAAAGTAATCCATGTCAACATGATGGGCCACATGGACTTTTGACAAGCACTGTTCTTGTTTGGATTCACACCATCCGTAAACAACGAGAGTGGCACACATGACTCTGGATTCTTATTTTCAAAGATCTCTCCAGGTTCGAACCATGATTTGAAAAGTTCACCATCTGTGAAGTCACCAAGAATGCCATCTCTTCTTACTTGAAGTTTCTCTGCATACAGAAGTCTGCATAGGTTTGGCGTTTCATACCATCTTGCTAGCCTTGGTCCAAGTGGCATGTATGTAAAGATTTTCCTGCTCTTTCTGGGCTCACTACAAACCGGACAGTCACTTAGATCTGAGTAAAGAAGGGCTCCAGAATCCCGATAAACAATACAGTCATTCACACATGCATCATATTTTTCCAGCGGGATAAGGAATGGAGAAATAAATGTCTTTGCCTCCTTGTATGTCCCAGGCAGATAATTTGGTTGTGGCAAGGATGACTTTTCACACTGAAGAGTGTCGGAAAGTGCTGTCTTGGACATCCCATGGTTCATAGAAAAGGTATACAGGTGCTTGGTCACTGCGTCCAATACAGTAGTAGTCGAACCCTCATAGAGTGGCTGCTGATACCTCTTCTGTTGGTACACATCTATGGACAGGTCAAATCTTGGCTTGAATGCAGATGAAAAATTTTTTGTGATAGTCTCTTGATGTGAGTAGAAAGTGTGCTTGGAAACCCATTCTCCTTGACACTCCCAGCATATACAAAACCTCTGAGAACCTGAAACAATTGAAAAATAAAATTACTGATGTTTGGATTTAAAATGAAGAAACCATATAATGTGTTTTAAATTAAATAATAAATATACTAAAATATTACTGTAAATAAAATAAAGATAACTTTTGAATTAGCCCAGTATAACATAAAACCAAGTTTATTCACCATTTCACTGAATTATTCATGACTTTTAAATTAAAAAATTATCCAAAATGATTAACATTATGAAATGCATTTATTCATAAATTACCATTATTTACTTTCTCCATAACTGCCAGGATAATTATACAAATGAACAAAAGTAGTAAGAGACATTGCATGCTAAAAATTAAATCAAACTAAGCTAGCAGCAGTGTCTCTCCTTGTTGAATGAAGTGATGAACTAGATGAATTGGCTACTGTATTTGTTGATATTGCATAACATTACAGCATCAAAGGGGCTGATAATCATGTGATGTACCCAGACATCAGTTACAAGGGATTTGTTTGTGTATATGGCCACTGAATTAACAGGCTACTTGATTTTACTCCAGATCTGAATAAACATCAATGGAATTCTGAGACTATTTAGCCAAATCTTTCCTATTTCATCATGTTCATTGATTTAATTAATTTTAAAATAAAAAAAATGTTCTGTTTAGTTTATGCAGAATTTTAGATAAAACTTTTTAAAATCTTTAATAAATTTTAAGATTTATATTAATTTTACAATTCCAACATGTCCAAGGTGATTAAATCTAGTTTATATACCATCCATTAATTATGAAAAAAGATAAAAAGTTAATATCAATATGTTTAATCATGATAATTAGGTGTAAATCAAACATGTTGTGATAGTAAAATCACTAGGGGGGAGATCAATGAAAATTAAAATGACACCAAGCTAGTGCCCAATTCAAATGGTTTCATTTAATTAGGAGAACGCTAATTACTTCTTAAAAGCACAAAGAATGTTGTCCACAGTCATCATTCTGTACTTTGGCAACACTTGGATTAACAGTAAACTTTAACTGTCAGTGTGTTTTGTTGAAATCTGTGTCATCATGTCTACCAGTGCAAATGTGAACCCTGTTTTTTCATCTTTGAACTTTCATCAAGATCAGGACTATGGCGCACCCTCCCATCCGTACCCAAATTCAGTGCAAGTGTATAACAGACAGTGTGGTTTTAACTGTATTTGTTGTGCGCGTATGCAACTTGGTAACTACTGTTCGTGTGCTTTCCCGAAGCAGTCCACTGCAACACAGACAGAGGAATACGACACGGTTCCTATGTCTATGGTCAAGGACAACCTGTGGAAAAGAGGAACTTCTGAACATGCAGCACTGCAGGTAATTTTTATTATCTCAATACCTGATTTTTGTTTAGATGTCCTAGTAAGCTAGGGTGGGGAGAGTTAATGATAATGTGTTCATTTCAATATCACAGCTTCTTCAACAGTCAGTGTAGACATCTAGAGCAATTTACTTGTAAATAACCTTTTTTGGTTTTATTATAGAATTTCAATAAACTTCTCAAACATTCTTAAATGAATGTGGTCATTTTACAAAATAACTTTAATACTTTTTTTCTCCATATCTCAAATTATAATTGTACATTTAAATAATTTAGTTTTTTCCTTTCTATTACTACGATCAATGTATACAATGTATGTAGTAGGGCCATCCTTAAAGAAATTTTGTTTGAAATTGCTGTCTGAAGGGTTTCAAACACAGGAGGGAGGGGGGAATTGAATTTGCATGAAGATAAAATTTAACATTTTAATAAAAATCTCAGCATAAACATGGTAAACAGTAAACATGGTTAATACATTTTCCGACTTTTAAAAAGAGTATCTAGCATCAACAAAAAAACCCTAATTTTATATAGATGTCAGTGTTTTGTATGGTGCATGTAATAGGAAGAACAAAAGTGATATTGGATAAAAAAAAATCTTCCTACTTTTGGTAAATAATTTTTTTTCAGGAGAGGGCATTTCAATGAGGTGGGAGTCAATTCAAAACAAACAATTTTATTTTGGCAAAGACCAAATGTTTATTTGTGTGGTTTTTTTTTTTGGCAATTTTACCCAATTATGTATTAGGAGAGGACTGTCTAAGGTACTGAACTATCAGATCTTTTAGACTGTGTAAATAAAATATATTTAATTCAATTCATACATGTATGACAGTATCTCACAAAAATAACCGAATATTATTCAAAGAACATTTATTTAATTTTCAATTCACCCTTTGCATTCTGATCAAAATTTACAAGTAGAGTAAAAGGGAAAGTTTTAAGGTGGAATATCCCTCTGATAAGAGAGATAACTTTCTTCAGACATTTTTTCATGGAATTCAGTGAATTGTCATGTCCAAGTTTACAGGTTTCATTCATGAGGACAATTTTAAAGTCAACTCAATCAAACCTAATCTAATGTACAAATGTTGATTTCTAGTTTTTATTGCTAGTATATTTATAAATTATTTATAATAGTTTACTTAAAACATTTATACTCAGTTTCTTTAAATGGTGTAAATTGAGAAATCTCTATCTCTTAAAGTATAATTCTTTGAATTGTACAGAAATTTCAGATGCAGTTTTGTTTGTAAACATTTAATTAATATTTTGTTTCATAAAAAATATTTTCAAGGGAGATAATGTAACAATAGCTCTTGTTTATGAATGTGTGTTATTTTACATGCACAGAAAACAATTTGTTGTTCTGATTTAAAAAGCAGCGCTTCAGTATGTTTTATAATGGGAATTAGATAGGTATGAGAGTAAATATTGTTTTTTTATATACCTCATATTTGTAATTTAATTACGGGATAAAAAATAATTAATCTTTCTATTTACCATATCAAATTCTCTTCACATCATAATTTGGTATATTATTTATTTCTGGTAAAGTAAGCAACGCTTCATACTTCAAACTATTTTCCACTTGAATTTAATGCTATAGTTGTTGCTGAAAATCAATGTCTGGATTTTTAAAAAAAGGTTGTGAAATTTGGAGCAGAGGAATATATTGCCCCTTAAAATCTTAAAATTACAAGAATCTTTTTGCAGGGGATGACAAATCCCATTGCCCGACGCCCGGGGCTAGTGAATTTTAGGGGTGGGCAAGTGAAATTTTATCAACCACTTGCGCGTGGGAAAGTGACTTAAAATAGAATTTATTTTTAGGCCATAAATTTAAAGCTGGACAGAGGGGCTTGTGCGATTTATTCAGCATTTGTCTTCTCCCTATTTTTTTGAAATATCTATAAATAAAGAATTAGTTTATGGTAGGGCAAGCAAAAATTCAGGTAGGGCAAGTCAATTTTGACCATGTACATGTACTTGCTCTTGGACAAATGCCTTAAAAATATATTGGTCAGCCCCTGTTTTGTGAAAAATTACATTCAAAAAACATCAAGCAATAACCCATATAAGTGGCATGAAAAGAAATGAATTTTATTATTTTCAATGTTTGTTTTTTTTGCTCAGAGAATGATCAACAGCACCATTGAGAAATATCAGCTGGTCAGTGCTAAGGACCGCCACCTACCCGCAGCAGTGTCAGAGATCCGGAATTACCTCAGTGTCAACTCCACCCTCGAGACAGTTGAGGAAAAGAAGATTTCAGACAGACTGAAGAAATCCCTGGAGTGGAGGAGATACTATGCCAAAAAAAGGTATGCTGAGGTTCCATATTCATTATTATTTATAAGAAGTACATGTATCAATTATCAAGTATCATAAGTTTTCTATGCGAGATCAGAGTAATATGTACATAGAAATTAAAAGGACAATCCTACAATTGTTTGTGAAAACATAGAGAAGTTACAATACAAATATAAAGGACTTCATTTGATAATTTTAATTCTTTAATCACAGGTCTCATGCAACAAGCAATGGTTTACCAGTGCGGCATGTGATAAAGAAGAAAAAGTCAGGATCCGACAAGGAGAACAGACAGCCCAGTCCCACTGATGAAGAGCCCTTACTTCAAGGAGATCTTGGATCTGACCTACATGATGTGTAAGTTCAGCGTTTCTGATCTTACTCTCTCATATTAAGCCAAAAATGAACAAACTCAACAAAAAATGCATTTAATTTTTTTTTCTCATAAATATTTCATTTAAGTTTAAGATAGTCAGTCTCCTTAATTTTATTTACTGCTTAAATTAAGTTAATAATTTTTTATGTGCATTTCATCTTCTTTTCATAACCAGCATATTCTATAAAATGTGATTTTAAAAAAAAATTGGAATACCATGATCAAATCATATAATAATCTATTTTTTTAACCTTTTTCCAGTGGTGTTGACAACAGAGGATTTGACCCAGACACTGACAGTGACAGTGATGTCCCCCTGTCAACCCTAGCTACAAGAAAGAAGAAGTCCCTCTGAACAGTGATTGAGTGAAGCCCAAAATTACTTGGACTGCCAACAGACGTTTGACTACAATCTTGTATTATTGACAAAAAACCATAACTTTATTGTGCATGTTAAGAACTTTACATTGATTGTCGCATTGGTGTGATAGAACTGTATAACAAATTCATGAAAGAGATCCTATTAATTAAGTACATGTAAATCTGTATTTATTGTCATGACGAAATAAATTATTATCTATCATTTCTTTTTTTCATTATTCAAGATTATATGGGTGCTTATATATTTCCGGCTCGATTCGAATGGCCAAAGCATGTTTATGGGACATTAATAAGTTTTCTTTCCACCAGTAAAACGGGATTGGGGTTACAATATCAATATGCATGAAATCATGAGACATGGGATCAATGTTTAATCTCTGTGTGAAACTTAGCTTACTGATGTAGCCTATTCAAATGAAAAACCCAAGAACTTGTGTCTAATCCCATTGATTATGTTTCAATAAAATGTTTAAATCAACAACCCAATGGCAGATATTCTGATGTACTTACTTTGTCAGTACTCAACCAACTGAATGTTGTCATCTTGTCCGAAATAACTTGATAGCTTGTCCGAGTTGTCTGAAAGTTGTCCTTGAATCATCACGTTTTTCAGCCACATTTCTTTCCTCCTTCCGTTGAAGATTGTTATAGGTGCGGAGCACGATCTCGATTTTAATTCCAAATGTATTTTTATGGCGAGTGCAATTGTATTTTTTTTTTTTTAAAAAGTCATGGATTTGCACATTGAAGAAATATATTTCTGCGATCTTTTTGACTAGTGAAACATGTACATGTATTAATGGCGAATTCATTTTCTCATACTTGTGTATGTAATTCGAAAATTATTAGCTTAATAGGAGTTCGGGTCATATTATACATGTATGTAAATTTGGCTTACAGTACATGAATTGATTTTTCATGTACATAAAGAAAACTGTATGTAAAGTAGATGTCATAATATATATATATCTGACCAGACTGGTATTAGATACCCCTTTCCACTAGGGCTGGGCAATAATATCGATATTTCAATATATTGCAATACAATGTGCAAAAAATATCGTAATTATTTTAATTCGATATTTTGGCAATATTTAAATCAAAATTAAAAATATAAAAATGGACTTTTTTGTTATTAAACTCAAACAGTAAGACTCTTTGTTTTGTGGGGACATTTCAGAATAACTTAAAAACTAAATCAACAAAATCTTTTTTCCCCCTTGGTTACTTCAAATTATCATGGTTATGTACATTCTGCATGTAATTTATAGTTAATATAGTAAGAAAATGCCATTTTTATTACATTAAAAATTGTTGCAATAAATCTATGTGAATACAATTAAAAAATTGCAATATATCGCAATACATTCTCTCTCTCTACCCAGCCCTACTTTCCACCACTGAACTTGGGTCAGGGACCGGTTTACCATCTTACCATGTTCACTAAATCTAATTACTGTTTATTTTGATTTACGCGAGAACTAAACAAACAAACAAAAATTAATCTTTCACTCAATCTGCGGTTAAGATTTTCCGACTAACAATAACCCAGAAAAATAAATACCAAGTAAAGTACCGCATAAACCATGCAGCTTTTCAAATTAATCTTAGATAAATTACAATGTACATTCTTAATCTCCATATGGTCATGAAATTTACAGATGATAGTAAGTGTGCATTAATAAATTATTTTAATTAATCTTTCTTTTAAATCAAATAAATAAAAGAGAGGAGGTAACCACTCTTCTCTCTCTCTCTCTCTCTCTCTCTCTCTCTCTCTCTCTCTTTTTTTTTTTTGGGGGGGGGGGGGGGGCTCACAATGAATTTGTCCCTAAAACTAGAAAAAAAAAATGTTTGCCCCCTGGAAATTCGATCAGGGCTGTCTGCCTAATTTTCTCTTCAATGGAGCTACAGTTCCACCCTCTCGGATGAAAAGTTTAGTGATACAATTGTTGGTGAAAAAAAATCTAGGTCTACAATTGTAACATTCTAAGTTTACGTCTATTTCAAATAACTTTCTTTCTCGCTTGTTTGCTAAAATTTTATTTGAGGACTTGGAGAAAGAAAAAAAAAATGTAACTATAACCCAAATGACTAATGAAAATAATAATTAAAAATAATAAATGCAATATGGATATCAAAATAAAGGTCTCAGCAAGTACAATCTAAATCTGTGTTTGTATTTGCATTTTTGTTAATTCAACAAAATTCTTTAGTTTGAAGCTTTCAAGACATTCAACGTATATTGATTCCTGTTGTTGTGTAACCACTCCTGTTGATATATCAGGACACTCGGTCTTGATACCTTTTGTTTAAATCTCTGGCTATCGTCCACTGCTTAATCCACCGTTTTCCTGATAGGTATACATTTTCTGTTGAGTGTACACTTTAATCCACGACCATGATAAGCCACCTTACCCTTTGAATCAATCTTTCGACTTTTATTTTAAATGCTTAAATATATAATATGTATAAACTAATCAATTGAAACAAAAATTATTATTTGATATCAAGTGTTTAAAATATGATATAAATTTATGAGCGAGAGAGAGAGAGAGTTTAAAAAAAAATAATAATAATGTATCAATGTTTCAAAATTTTTTCTCTTCATGAAATATTGCCTACCAAAGCATTTTATTTACTGCACTGCATTTCATTCCCGGAAATCTGCATGATAACAATTCAGAAATTTTTAAAATTCATTTTCAAAATTTTTTTTTTAACTCTGAGAGTTTTACCCTGTACCTCTCAGAAAATCATATGTTTACCAAATATTGATATATCTTTTCAGAATATTACTAAAAACATAATATAAGAATTTTGTATACCTTCACCTGTATACACGATCGAGCACTATACATGTAATAATTTAAAAAGAGTTCAATAAGAATGCATTTAATGTTCACTAAATCAAATGCCCTTGAACATGTTGAATAAACCGAAATTTGATATACTATAATTTGAAAGTGAATTGTTTGATCCTATACTTTCATTCCTGAAAAAAAAAACTATCTGAAAAATGCTGGAGATGAAAACTTTAAGAGGTCGGAAATAAAGAGTTGTAAAAAATCCCAGAAATGAAATTCAGCTGTTTACCGCATATGGAACTATGGAAAATGACAATGTGACTTTAGAATTGTTCAGAACAATACATGTAAATGATGATATATAATTGATTAGAATTGCTCGGTTAATTTAAAACGTCAAGACTAGAGAAATCATAATTATTCATTATATTTATAATTTATGATATCACATTTAACCTATAGAATTTATTTTTGTACTTTTTATATATGGTATTAGTGTATACTAAGTGTACCTATCAGCAAAAAATAGCATTCTAAAAAACAGCATTCTCAAAATAAATATATCATTCACTAAGTCTAAATTACCCAATCGGCTTAATCTTAACACTTATTGAAGTTAAAATATCTGTAACTTTAAGAACTGTGAAAGTGAAATAAGTCTAAAATAAAATCACAGTGTGGTTCAGTGATGTACAGTGCCAAACTGGGATGCGTACATTGAAATTCAGTGATGTACAGTGCCAGTCTGGGACGCGTACAGTGATCAATAGTAGTGTACTGTGCTGTACAGAGGTTGAGTACTGTACGCGTCTGTGATGTACAGTGTTGTACTGTAGAGGCGTACAATGATAGACAGTGGTGTACAGTGCTGTACAGTGAGGGCGTACAGTAATGTACAGGGATGTACAAAAAATAACAGTGAATCTGTACTGTGATTTACCGAGGATTACAGTGGGTACAGGGATTTTGTACAGTGAGTGTACAGTGCTTAAACAGAGAAAAGCAGAACTTTAACAGTGGGTAACAGAGTTTATCTGAGAATTTTCAGAATATCAGGGAATTTTAAATTCAGTAGTGTGATATGGGCATACCACGTAAAGTTGTTTATACTTTTTATTTGAGAAGAGTAAACTATTGAATCAATTATAAGCATTTTTCTCAGAATTAAATAAAGATTTTTGAAAACTATTTAATTTTTGAGTCTGATTATCATCAGTATCTTTTGTAGTATTTATTCATTTCCTTTCCAGTGTAACCATACCGGGTATTTACCACCAGACACAGCAGAAATAGCAAAATATTGCAATCGTTATATTTGATTATAATCTTATTTAGTTTTTGTGTCTGATCATCATCACAGTCTGTTTTAATGCTTCATTTCCTTTCCAGTCATGCCATACCGGGTATTTATCACCAAACTTCGCAGACTGTCCGTACTCTCCGTTAAGGTTTGAGTAGTAACAGTGGTTGTACCACCAGGCTCCGCGTCGCCTTTCAGCACAGTTAACACTACTCCACTGGTCGTTGTCCTGGTCCTTTGTTGAAAATTTACTACCATTGTGATAAGCCAAACTGTCACCTAGAAAAGAGTATAGATAAAATCATAATCCATAATTTCATAAAAACTATACTCATAGCATTGTAGTCTCCACTGTAATCATCATTGTCCAGAATTAAAGAAAAGAATATAAATAAATAATTTTATAATAACAAACAAATGTGTAATGCATATTTTTATGCGACACAAATTATATTCTAAGAAAAAGCATCCGTATCAAATGATGGGTGAAAACTGGTTACACACCTCCTTTTTAAATACTACATGTTTTATGTTTAAAAATCATTGTTAAAAAGTTCATGTACACAATTGGGGAATAAACTTTACAACACATTTATAACAAGCAAATTCAAGGAATTGTGGTCCCCCGCTTTCGGTCAAGGTCAAAGGGTTAAAGTGTTTAGTATCCGATGAAGTCTTCTCACAAAGATTACATACGTGAAGTATGAAAGCCCTAGCCCTTGCCATTCAAAAGTTATGGTAAAGGTTCATTTTTTTCCTATTCACGAAAATTCTCCCAGGTAAACTTCAAAAGGTCAAGGTTTTTGATATCAAATGAAAGGTCTTGCCACAAAGAATACATATGTGAAATATGAAAGTCCTAGTATCTACTATTCAAAAGTTGTGGCAAAGGTCATAGTTTGTTAAAAGTAGGTTAAACTCCAAGGTCAAGGTGAAAGTGTCAAAGTTCTTTGTACCCAAAGAAAGGCCTTATCGCAAGGATTACATATATGAAGTATGAAAGCCCTAGCCCGTACCATTCAAAAGTTATGGTCAAGGTTAAAGTTTTTTCATACGTTCGGAAATCTCCAAGGTCAAAGTCAAAATGTCAAAGTTGTTGGTATCAAATGAAAGGTCTTGCCACAAAGAATATATATGTGAAATATAAAAGTCCTAGTATCTACGCTTCAAAAGTTATGGCCAAAGTAAAAGTATGAAATTTTTTGTGTAAAAGTGGGTCAAACTCCAAGGTCAAAAAGTCAAATTTGGTGGTACCCAAAGAAAGGTCTAATGTCAAGGAATACATATATGAAACATGAAAGTCATAGCTCCACTAAATCAAAAGTTATGGGCAAGGTTAAAGTGTTTGTGACGGACGGGCAGACGGACAGACTGACAGGCTGACGGACAGACGAATGAGATTTAATGTCCCCTCTCTTTCGCGAAAGCGGGGGACAATAAATGGCATGAGAACCTTGGTTGAAACATTTTACGCCTTAAAGACATTAAAGAGATGTGCTTGTAAAAATAAAAAAAAATGTTTTAAAGGGCTTACAAGATACTCAGTAACGCGTTTTTTAAAATTATTTGTTATAGGTTACTGGTATACTTTCCATCATTTCAAAGTGTAAATATTATGATAATATTCATTCAAACATGTCCAAATAATATGAAAAATTAAGATGTAACATCAACCATACTTTTTGTATCATAAGGAACATTGCATTATAAGCACTAATTTTTTCATTCAGTCAAAGCAGAATTTCGCAGGATATTCGTATCCCACCGTGTGATGAACGAACATTGTAATGATAAGACCTACCTGTGGTTCCTGAATACCCCGATACAGTGAGTATGTATTTATGGTATTTATCTCCAACGTAAAATGTAGAAAATTGAGCGTATGCTTCAGCACCATCAAAACTTTGTAGCTCAACCCGGAGTTCCTGGTCCTTGTTCTTTGTTAACTCATAGACTGCGTCATTTCCTTTAAAAATTACTACAGGTATTTTTCTTCATGATTCGAATATTTATTTTATTAATGCAATACATAACCTCTTTGTTGATATTTTAATGTAGTTAAATAATTAAATGTTGTTTTGTTAGACATTTTTTCTTTAGTTTTGTATATTATTGTCGATTTATTTTTCATATTTCATATGAATAAAACAAGATGTGTTTGTGAAACACTGATGCTCCCGTATGGCAACATAGCGAAGGTTAAGCTTTTTCAAATACAGATCAAATTTGTTGGTACCAAACTAAGGCCTTTTCACAAGAAATGCGAAATATAAAACGCTAGCTACATCTGTTCCAGGGTTATGACCAAGGTTAACATTTTATAATAATATAGGACAAACTCCGTTTCAAGGTCAAAGGGTCAAGGTTGTTGGGTTCTAAAGAAAGGCTTTGTCTCAAAGATTACGTATGGGAAGTAGAAAAGCGCTGGCCCTTACCGTTCAAAAGTTATGGTCAAGGTTAATATTTGTAAAAAGTAAGTCAAACTCCAAGGTCAAGGTCAAAGGGTCAAGATTCTTGATATCCAATGAAAGGTCTTGTCACAAGGATTACACATGTGAAAGATGAAAGCTCTAGCCCCTACTGTTCAAAAGTTATGGTAAAGGTTAATGTTTGTAAAAAGTAAGTCAAACTCCAAGGTCAAGGTCAAAGGGTCAAGATTCTTGATATTTCATGAAAGGTCTTGTCACAAGGATAACACTTGTGAAATATGAAAGCTCTAGCCCCTACTGTTCAAAAGTTATGGTCAAGGTTAATGTTTGTAAAAAGTAAGTCAAACTCCAAGGTCAAGGTCAAAGGGTCAAGATTCTTGATATCCAATGAAATGTCTTGTCACAAAAATTAAACTTGTGAAATATGAAAGCTTTAACCCCTACTGTTCAAAAGTTATGGTCAAGGTTAATGTTTGTAAAAAGTAAGTCAAACTCCAAGGTCAAGGTCAAAGGGTCAAAGTTTTTGATATCAAATGAAAGGTCTTGCCACAAGAATTCAATTTGTGAAGGATGAATGCCCTAGCCCGAAACCTTAAAAAATTATGGTCAATGTTGTATTTTTTAAAAAAAGGTCAAACGTCAAGGTCAAAAAGTCAAGGTTCTTGATATCCAATAGAAGATCTTTTCATTAGGATTATATATGTGAAGTATGAAAGCCGTAGTACATATTGTTCAAAAGTTATAGTCAAGGTTAAAGTTTTTGCGGACAAACAGACAAACAGAGAGACAGACAGACAGACAGACGGACATGACAAAAACTATATGCCCCCGAAACTTCGTTTACGGGGGCATAAAAATAAGTCAGCTGATTTTTTAGCAACTTTGTCATGTTCAAACTATCACTGCCTGTATCATAAAATAATTACAATTGTTACTACATTGCATATTGATTATTTTGAAGTTTTTTTTATTTGACGTAACTTAAAAATTCAGCAAAGGATTGTGTCTTATAAGTTGTTTGTGTCTGTTTCATTACAGAAGAATTTGTCTTGACTTTCTCTTGCATGCGATTGAATTAAAACTGAATCAAATTTCCTTTCATGTGGAAAGGAAAATTTGATATTGTTTACTTTTCTGTATCTTAAATCTTCCTTATAATGTTGTTTCGAGGGGCAACAAATATATTATTATTCTCTGATTTATTGTGATAACTTGACCATTTTGAAAGTGTATGTAAGAAGGTGCAACAGTTTTACAAGCATAGAACGTCAACAACAATACCCACTGTTACTATACATAAGAAGAGCATAAACCCCATTCCCCCGTTTATTACGTATCGATGATCAAATTTCATATATCGTGTTTCTTAAACTTATGATTTTTTGTAATGTTTTATTTGGATTTGGTGCAATTTCCGATAAAAAAAACTTTGGATATTTTGTAGGGATGGCAATCGATTACAGAATTGCTAATCGGCTAATCGCAAGACGTTCCGACCGATTAACCGGTTAGTCGTATCAAGATGTACATTTTGACATTTCTTCAAGATTTCAAGAAGGCTTAAAAAAGACGTCAGAAGTTACATTCTGTTAATTTTCTTGATCGGGATATTTTATGTGCATAAGAGTATATTTTATTTTAATTTCAATATACAAGAAAAAATAAAGAAACCATAAATCTTGCCTTAGAAAACAAACACGGATAATTTCCAACGCAGATGTTAAAGAAGTTTATTCTGCATTGTCTTAACTATGTCTGAACTCTTACTTTTCAATGTTTTCTTTTCTATTATAACATAACTTTTAGATAACGGCAAATATACACATAAATAAAAGTGCGTGCTAACTGGTGATGTTTTAAATATCATTAAAAAAACCACGTACATGACAGTCGGGATAACAAATTGTTTTAAAAACAGCAATTAACGCTTTACAAACTGACAAATTATCCCGTTATTTCAATAAGGAGAGCCATTCATACCTCCAAATTATTTAATTACAAGATAAAAACCCTAAATGAACTTTAGCAGCGGTTTCCTTTCTAAAATATGGATTTTAAGAAAATGTATTAAAATACATATAATATATTTTTTTTATTTTATCTGACTAACCGATTACGGATTTTCTAACCGATTAGCTTTGTTCCGACCGATTAATCGATTAACCGGTTAAGAATTGCCATCCCTTATATTTTATTTTTTAGTTATTTCCTGTACATAATTTTTACCTAAAATTAGGGCGTTGCATTTTCATTGACGGGGAGTATATTTGTGCAAATATTGTGAACCTATGGTAAAGTGTTATCCTATCCAGGCAGGATTATCTGTGTAGCAAGATTTATTGTTATTAATTATTCTACCTTCCGAAGGATTTACATTAGTTAGAATTGAAATTACAAATGATCCTATGTTGTGTTGGTTATGTGCCCTATATTTCTTTATATCTTTATATTTGTTGCACAAAGTGTTTTTTTAAATAAAAATTGAGAATATATGTAACACCGAAAACTGCACCGCGAATCCCCGATCGAAGTAGGCAAAAAAAAAAAACCGTCTTGATTTCAGGTAGCCTCAGAACTGTAGCTCTCCGAAAAAAAAAATATTGACAGACCGGAGAGCCACCCGTTGAAACAAGAGGCCCAGGGGCCACATCGTTCTCCTGAGGAACAAGCTAGGAAAAAGCAAAAAATCAGTTCAGTATTGAAAAGTTTAAATTTATTATAATATTGGGTTCGATGAAAGAGGGTTAGGGGGTACTTGAACAAACTTAAATCTACACTTCCTAAGAATACTTTTGAATTAATATGACAGATTATAGCTCTGTTGTTTATTGGTATGATCAACTTTTAATGATGCTTTTAAATTGATGATCAATCGTTGCTTTGTGAAGAATTTTTACGATTTCCCCCTATGAACTCTTATGTAAAACTTGATACCCTATTTTGGCCCCGCACTACCCCTGAAGGTCATGATTTAAACAAACTTGAATCTACACTACCCGGGGATGCTTCCATATACATGTAACTATAATCAATCATAACTTTGTTGTTTTCAAGAAGAAGAATTTAAAATATTTTTTCTATGTAATCCTACTTTGCAATTGGTTACCCATAATTGCCCCACCCTTGACCTGGGGATTACGTTTTGAAAAAAAAAAACTTGATTCTTCACTACCAGAGGATGCTGAAAGATCCATTTAACTATGACCAATCACGGCTTTGCTGTCTTTGAGAAACAGATTATTGAAGATTTTTCCTATCTATTCCAATTAAACTTTGATACCCTATTGTGGCCCCACCCTTCACCTGGGAGTCATGATTTGAGCAAACTTGAATCTTCACTACCAGAGGATGCTTCCACATGAGTTTCTTGAGAAGATTTTTAAAGAGTTTTCCAATGTTTTCCTATGTTAAATTTTCGATACCTCATTGCTACCCAACCATACCCCCGGGGTTCACGATTTGTACAAACTTTAATTTACACTATATCAGGATGCTTAATACGTTTCATCTTTCCTGGCCCACTGGTTCTTGAGAAGAAGATTTTTAATGAAAGATAACATTATCTTATTACTAATTCAAAATTATCTCCCCTTGGAAGAAGGTGTGGCAATTCGTTTGAACAACCTTAAATCCTCTTTACCCAAGGATACTTTGTGGCAAGATTGGTTGAAAGTGACCCTGTGGTTATTGAGAAGAAGATGAAGATGTGAAAAGTTTACGACGACAACAACGACGACAAACAAAGGACAAATTTTTATCAGAAAAGCTCACTTGAGCCTTTGAGCTAAAAACTGTACATTTATTGTGCACAAAAAGTTGCGCATAATTCTGGATTAATTCTTCCAATTTTTTTTAAAAAATTCCTTACTCTTCTATAACGTACTCTCGTTGTTAACATCTGCACGAAGTGCATTAGACCGATCAGATCTTTGAAACTAAAATGGCAGTATAAATAGACGAAATTTTCGATGATCTCAATTTTAGGACCAGAAGGGCTATTAACAGCAATCATAAGGGATGTTAAATGTTTTGTTTTGTTTTATACTAGGCGATATTTTGATACTTAGGAAATCCTCCAGATATGAAGAAAATAATGATAAAGTAAATAATAAACTCATTATCATGCAGCTATAATTAGAGATAATAAGGATTGTTTGTTAGAAAAAGAAGGGGAAAATGATACATAAATCTAACTTACCAATCCAGTAGTTTGTAGAGGGGTCGCCAAATCCTTGTTTGTAATCTCGCCAAGTCCGGTAAAAATCTGTAGAACCGTCCTGTCTTCTTTGTATTGCCTTTAACAAATTAATTAACTTATAACTTGTTTATTATAAATTCAGCAAGCAAAAGTAATTCAAGATTTATTCCCGTTTTTATTTATAGGATCTTGAAAAACACATACATATTCTATATTTTGTAAGAAAATTTTTTTTAAATCATTTAATTTATCTTAAAACATGGATTAAAATATTTTAAGTATAAAAATAAATTATATTTATACCCCCGTTTGAAAAGCGGGAGGGTATATAGTAATCGGTATGTCCGTCTGTTACGCTTTTGGGTATTTATCTCTTATCCGCAACTCCTCTCATATCACTGAATGAAATTTGAAGAAACTTTCACAGAATCTTTTTTATTACATATTGCCATCGTGCACCTCCTATATTACTTTTCGATCCGACACATATTTTGGGTTTCCCATAGCAAAACATGGACATAGTCATTATATTTATATCGGAGGTGGGGTATCATTTAGTGAGCTCATTGCTCACAGTACGTCTAGTTTTAATCTATAACAAAGTGTACTCACTGTCCACCCTCCTCCATCTGTACTCATGTCACAGTAAACAGACTTGACCTCAGAACCTACGGATATTCTGTATACACCGTCCCTTCCCTTTAAACTTGGGAACTTCTTAAAAATTTCTGCACAATCCTTCAGAAGCACTATGTGAGAGAAAATAAAATCGTTGCATATAAATGTTAGAGGCTTTTGTACACTTCACTATATAAGACAATGCTAAGGTAATTGTGGACTGACTGTCATTGTAAGGAGAAAATCTAACTAGGGTTTTGTCTTCTTTCAAATCCTTTTTTTTTGGAAATAAATATTGTGTAAACCAAATTCACATTGTATCTTTATCCGCAAACTTCAAGCACAATAGGCATTGTATTTTGGATACAGATGAACAAGACATACATGTAAATAAATTTCTAATTGTTTTCTTTAATATCTCTTTTTAAGTTAAATACGTTGATTTCTCGATAATTAAAAAGACATGTTAATTGATTTTGCAAAGTGAAAGGTCAAAATACTTATACGCTATCCCAACAATATATTTTTTATTTTTCTAAATTTCGATTGAGCATTATTTTATTTGTTTAGTTTTTAATTATAAACCTGGAATTGGTAACTTTTCTCTATATGTGAGTATGTATTTCCTTCCACCCCCCCCCCCCCTCCCCAGAAAAAAGAACCCTGGATCGCCACTTTTGCTTTTCCTAATACCTAATATTACGAGTTGCTGTCAATATCATACATATTTGTATATTTAATTTTATGAGCCAATTTCTGTCTCTGTCAATCAGGATAGAACTAATTTAGATAAATTTAAAAGTTTTATTTATAAGCATTGGAAATCTTAATTCATAGATCTAGTGTCAATCTTTTAAAAGAAATTTTAAAAGCATGGCTTTGTACAAAAAGAAGATAAAGTGTGATCAATGAAGTCCTGTATTTAATATTCCAGAGAAAGGAACTATTTTATAGAATCTCAGTGCACCTACAACTTATTGATTAATATAGATTGATAAAATCAAGATTCAAACATTATTCTGGAATTAACTGGACGATGATTTAACATTGTTTGTGGTACAAACTTCTAAAATATATCACATTATTATAATGCCAAATGTAATAACAACGCAAAATGTAATAATCTGGGATAATAGCATTTTGTGTTGTTAGACTTTACATTAAGATAAACGTAGAATGTAATTACACATATAGAATAATACGATTTTTGGATTCTAACATTTTGCTTTATTACATTTTGTGTTGTTCTCAACGCACAATGTACTTCATGCACTTATTGGATTTTACATTATGCGTTCCTTAATTTTTGTGTTGAGAACAATGCAAAATTCAATTAAACAATGAAACGAATTGTAATGAAAAAAATAATACACTACATAATGTAAAACACAAAAAATGATTTAAACATATAACAATACTTTGATTGACTTGTCGACTTATATATATACCAGTATCAGTCTGTATCATTTTCCCATCACTTACATTCTTTATTACCATAGATTGACCATGGGTCTATGAAAAGCTCTTCATATGCATGTACCACGTGCACGCTTACATTCGGAAGGGAATTAGAAGTGCACAGAGAAGTGGAGGTAGGGGTTACTTTGTATGTCGATCATTGTATTTTTATGCAGAAACTTTCCATTTTATTATTGGAGACAGAGAGAGTAAATTTAATTTCGCTGCATGGTCCGCAATCCACACAATTTATAAAAGAGTATGAAATTTTAATCGTTAAGAAACCCCCTTACCGCTAGAATTAGCATATATTTATTTTTTTTTTCCTTTCCGTTAGATTTCTGATTTCGCTACTCAACGGAAATTTATTCTCAACCTCATTGACCAAAAAGTCTGTAACATTTTGCTTTCGTGAAGTTTGCTTAATCTCGACATAAAAAATAACAACTCAAAATGCAATAGTCCAAAAATCGTGTTATTACATTTTGCGTTGATTTCGACACAAAATATAATTATTCTATAAAGTCTGTTTTTACATTTAACGTTATTACATTATGTGTTGATATCGACGCAAAATGTAATAATGCAAAAAACAATTATCCCAGCTTATCACATTACGCATTGTAGCATTGCGTAAATGATTTCTTAGCAAAATAATATCTATATTTATTAAAGAAACTTCAAGAGCTTATTCTAACCTACATTAAAGTTTGTTCCAATCATTGTTTTTCAAATTTATTTTATAATTTAAACTTGAAATAGATTGTAATATTATACCTTTTGACAAGATCCTGCTGGATTCATTCAGATCCCCACAAACAGTGTGTAGAGTATCATTTACAGAGTCGGTGAAATTTTCTAGCGCGTACTGTGTCTTTTTAACACGTTCATAAAAACTGTTCACACTGCATTTTTGTAATGTTACATTCATTGCATTCATTTGATATTGGAGCATTTCAATTTGTGGACTAACAGGGAAAACAAATTGCGATTTATTTAGTGCTTTTATTTTGTCCATTGTTCTCTGGTCTGTCATCTTCAATGTCTGTATGTCTGTTTTCAAGTCACTTACTATCTTCTTTGTTGACTTATTTAACAAATCTAGCTGTTTTTCAAAACCCTGAAGAGCTAAAGTTTTGCTTTCAATCACCTGGTCAATATATTGCATTTCTTCCTTTGTAAAGTTTTTATTGACATTCACCGTTTTGCTCACCATCTTGAATTTCTCTTTCAGTTCAATATTTTCTTCCTCCAATATTTGGTTTTTCGTTTCCAAGTTCCGTAAGTCCATTGACATCTCACTAAGCTTTGCCTTCATTACTTGTATATCTTTTTTGTTGTCGATGGCATCCATAACCAAATTCTGTATTTTTTGGACCATAGAGAAGCGGACCAGACTTTCCTGATTCAGAATGTCACGTAAGACATTGGACGCTTTATCTGATACAGTACTAGGGAGGAAACCATTTTTATCAGAAGCTTCGTTTTCAATTAAAGATAAATCACAAAATGTTCCATAAGCCAATACAGAGAGGATGAAACATTGTATCTGTAGATCGCCCATCTTTACAGGAGAGTAACTTATTATGTTTAAGGAAGTCGCTTATATGATGTTCAACAATGGGCCTTCGTTATCCGTTCGACTCATGAAGCACTTAAAAGTAAGTGTTTTTTCCTGAAAAGATGACTTAATACTTGACTTGCTTTCTTATAATAAATAAAATCTTTATTCAAAGTTAAAACCTTATCCGGAGTATCATTACTCTAAACCATGTACATAATGAGTAATAGATGAATTAAGTTTTTTTGCAGAAAAACAAGGACGATTAAATTATACTGGTATTTTATTTTCTGAAAATTCGTGTAACTTGGTTGAAAATTTAGCAATTGAACTAGGGTATAGATCGGACCACTCATCAGTGGTTCTTGGTATAAAATTTAATACCTTTCAGAAAGTAATAGGTCTTTGGAAATTAAACAACTCTTTACTTACTGACAAAACATATGTTAACAAGGTGAAAGAAACAATAAAATCTGTTAGAAACCAATTTGAAAAAAATGCTTATAGAAAATATGGATAACATTTTGAAGTCCTTTTAATGGAGAAGGATATGGAGATAACGAACAGTATTCAGTCTCAAAGTCCATAAAACAATACAGCAATAGAGCAGAGCAAACACGGACCCCCAGAAACTCAGAGGTGGGATCAGGTGCCATGGAGGAGAGAGCATCCCATGCAGACTGGAGATTAGAGGTGTTACAATCTCATATTCGTCATATAGAAAGAAAGATAAAAAGTAAAGATGAGAAACCTTGTTAAATCACCTGGAAGTGATGTTTTCATTCCTGATTTTTTTTTTAATCAGGGATCCGTTTTATAACCATCATAGTGTTTACCTCTTTTCACGCATAAGATTTTGCATAAATTCTGCTTCATCTGAATATAAAAATAAGTCTGCTAATAACGGAGCGCAATTTGTACCCATGTGTATTCCAATAGATTGTTGGAATACCTGGTCTCCAAAAACCACATAGATATTGTCAATCAGAAACTCAAGCATCTTCTTGATGTCAACTTCGGAGTACTTATGTGTGCAATCAGAATCTGTTTTAACAAAATAATTTTGCAAATGACAAATGACGAGGTAAGTAAATTTACGAGTTCCATTTTATTGAAGAAGCAGCTGTCATTGATATCAAAAAGTCTGGATTTTATTTTGTCGTGGGGAATTGTGTGTACAAAGTTGAAAAGTCAAAAAGTCAAAAGTTTTTAAGCTGTTGATTTTTGTAAAGTCTCGTGATTTAAAATTGTCCAAAAGTTCTTTAGAATTTTTAAGTATCCACATCTGATTCACACCACTTCTTGAATATAAAGTTGAACAGTACTCTTGAAGTTTTTCCTTCACTACTGTCAATATCTTAGTGAGGAGTAACGAAAGAGGCTTGGATGAACATTTACTGGAACCCGCACTGTATCTTTGTTTGTAAGGATTCTTATGAAGTTTCGGAATCCAATATAAACAAGGTAGTTCAAATTCATTTTGGCTCTGTGGAATATTAAAAGTATTCAAATTTGGCAGGCGATTATGAAGAATGTCTTCCTTAGAAAGGGGACCGGTCACGGTAGCCTAGTGGTAGAGCGTTCGCTTCGTGATCGGGAGGTCCGGGTTCGATTCTCGATCGCGGCGCCGCGTCATACCTAAGACGTAAACAAAGGTAGTGACTGTTCCTTCGCTAAGCGCTCGGCACTAGAAGTGAAAGTCACGGGTCTTTCGGATATGACCTTAAAAACGTAGGTCCCGTGTCACGGTATGTGTTGGCACGATAAAGAACCCTCACTGCTCAATTTGAAGCCCTTCACCGGCATCGGTGACGTCTCCATATGAGTTAAAAATTCTCAAGAGGGACGTAAAACAATATACAATCAATCAATCAATCCTTAGAAAAGGAAGTATGAGTATAAGTTGGATTACCACTTTTAGAATTTGTTCCAAGTTCTTCTAGAATGTAATTTATATAATGAGCCTTACAAACGAAGACAATGTTGTTACCTGCTTTGTCGGCAGGAACCAGTACATACTGATCATGTAATCTATCTAATTCTTTTTTCACTTCTGGTTTATTAAACACAGAAGGATAGATAGTTTTTATATTGCCCCTCAATCTTTTAATATGTGTCTTTAACATGGACCTGATACATTAAATCCATTCTGACAAGGTTTCAACGTATTCTTTTTCATATCTGGCCCATCGTCTGGCGTAATTTTCAACAGAATCAATAATATTTATATAATTATGACGCCAGTTGAAGGATCGGGGTTCCCTATATTTAGAACCTTTTAAAATAAGTGATCTAAGGTCCTCATTACAAACTATATGTACGTCACCTATTATAACGTGTCCAGCAGGACTATGGTTATAGGGTGAAGAAGAACATGAACACGAAGGAGGATTATGTTTCAGATAGTCGGTATCCAGGCCATGTAAAGTGTTTATTTGAAACGTAATTGAAAGTTTGGAAGCAATGGTCGATGTATATTTGTAGGAAATACAAGGTATAGTCTTTAACTTGAAATACGTGGAATACAAGATTGGACCCTTTTGTAATTAAGAATAATACTTATATTAACAGCATCAATTCCTTTATTGGCATATTGAAGTTTAAGGAAAAGACGGATTGTTTTAGCTGCATTTTCTCCCGTGAAACGTTCGGGTTTAAAAAGCCTATGATATGCAATATCCATAATCACAGATTCGAGCCTATATTCAGGTGACGAGGAATCTAAAATTGGATGTTCCTTGGCCTTTTCAAGAAGACTATTTAAAAGTTTCAAAGGGATAGAGTAAAGTTTTGTTCGAATATGATGTAGAACTAATTGTTGATTTACATAAGGTAGTAATGAATCAAAAGAGACGTCGTGAATTGCAGGTTTATTGTATGAACTACGTGACTACGCTTACTTTTCTGAGTATGGTTAAAAAGTCCCATCACATTTACATTATTATACTGTGGACTGGAAAGATTTCCAACACTATCGACATTGTCATTACATCCATAGGGAAAGGCTGCCCCAATAGTATTCTAATCCAAAATTCTTCTCGTTGTCTACGGAAAGGTGTACTCAGCGACGGACTATTTGTGTGGTGATAAATCTTTTCGAGAATTCTAACATTCATTGATAAAATAGAATTATCAGGTAAATTAAAATGTTTGTATAAAATCTGCTGATCACCATGATTTGAAGACCTGATTATCGCTTGCTCAGCGATCCCTTGGTTTCACCGACATAAACAAGTCCACACAGTTTACATTCTATTCCATAGACAACATTAGAACATTTGCAGTTCAGATTTTCCCAAGTTTTGGTACAGAAGCTATGTCCAGTAAGATTACTGGTGAAAGAAATGTTAGTTATCAAAATGTCAAGTTTTACAGTTTCGCACATAACATTTTGAAACAGAAGACATGGGATCTGTAATCCATTTAATCTTTTTTTCCATTTCTAAATTATTGAATACAGAAGGATAGATGATTTTTACATTGCCCCTCAATCTTTAAATACGCAATTTCAACATACATCTGACACACGATATAGGATTATATTTCAGATCACCATTATCCAGGCCCTGTAAAGTGTAATTGAAAAGTTTGGAAGCAATAGTCAATGTATATTTGTAGGAAATATAGGATGTAGTCTTTAACTTGAAATATGGTTGAATGCAAGACTGGACCCTTTCTGAATAAGAATATTACTTATATTAACAGCGTCAATTCCTTTGTTGTCATATTTAAGTTTAAGGAAAAAACGGATTCTTTTAGCTGCATTTTCCTCAGTAAAACGTGCGGGTTTAAAAAGCCTATGATTTGCAATATCCATAATCCAAGATCTGAGCCTATATTCTGGTGTCGAGGAATAAAAAAAAATATGCTTTCCATGTCTTTGAACAAGAATATTGAAAAGAACAAAGGGACACGGTAATTTTGGTGCGAGTATGATGAAGTCCTAACTGTTGATATACATAAGGTAGTAATGAATCAAAAGAGACATCGTGTTTTACAGGTTATTGTAAGACCGATGCCCATGACTATGCTTACGTCGCTTTTTTACGGTTAAAAAGGTCCTTTGGCCTTCGGCGTTTATGCAAAGTATCACACAAGCCAATCGATTGATCACTTCATGAAAGCGAAAAATAAGACAGTTATTCCTTAAAAATGCAGCATTAATGAAGAACAATATTTATCTGTTCATACGAAGAAAAAAAAATTTGAGTGTTTAAAATTCAGTGTTGAAAATATTGAATAAAAAGGGACATATAATGTATATTGTAGCTGTTCGTTATACGATACAGAAAAGAAATCTCTACTGAAATGAGTAAATAACATATAGTTGCTATTTAATTAAAAAAAAATTAATTTCCAATAATATGTTTGGTCTGATCATACTGTAAATCACTTTTTATTCGCGAGAACTTAATTTTCGCGTAACTACGCGAGACAGTGTGCTCGCGAAAATTTATTTCTCGCGCATAATACTATTCCTTAGGATTATACAGAGCAAAGACCTCAATTCGTGAAAATTTTGTCTCGCTTATAAAGAATCAATGACTATCTCGCAAAAAAAAAGTGTCGCAAAATTTAAGTGATATACAGTAAATGATTCCTAGCTTTTGTGTCTGATCATCATCAGTGTCTTTTGAAGAGCTTCATGTTTATTTTCCCATTCATACCATGTGGGGTAATTATAACTAGAATCATTAACAGCAGACTGGGCGTACAGTCCGTTCAGGTTTGCGTGATGACCGTCCTTGTACCACCAAGCTCCGTGGAATGTTGTAGCACAGTGACGCTTACCTCTGTCGTTGTCCAGGTCTTTTGTACTGAATTTATTACCATCATGATAAGCCAAACCGTCACCTAGAAAAGAGAATTTATAATATTATAATCTGTAGTTCAATGAGACAATATTCGTAACATCGTGTTTTATTAGTTTTTTTCTTTCTTATTACTCGTTGTTTAGATTACAACCATGTGAAGATTTTGTATCTATCTATCTATCTCTCTCTCTCTCTCTCTCTCTCTCTCTCTCTCTATCTATCCTACTCTTTTCTATCTAATTTATTCTATCGATCGATCGTTCGTTCGTCACCCTCACATCCATCCATCCATCCATCCTAACCCTCACAATACTCATCTATATATCTATCGTTACCCTCACAATACTCATCTATTTCCTCGGGGTAAATGATAAGCGTATTAATAAAATATAAATGTGTAATATATTATTTTTTAACACACATATTACATTTCAAGATGAATCTTAATCAAAACATTCTAAAATATCTAATGATTTGAAAAGTGTTTGTACGTAAAAGACATGTATATATCTTTGTATGTATATTGATAACTGATGATATCACAGATGAAAATAACTATTTTTTGTTGTCATTTTGCTTCATGTATGTAAAATTTATGATAATAAAAGTAATCATAACGAAACGAGTTCGTGTACATAATTGGCTTAATAGTCTTGTTATACTGAATATTTAAGGAATGTATTTCATAGCTATCCACGTTATACTGTAATATTTCCATTTCTATTTGTGTTCTCTGTTGTAACTCTTTGAAAATTAGTAGGGTCGATTTCTTGGTCATTCTAACGGAATGTAAATATCGTCAAGAAATAGGGCCGGAGTTAAGGAGGGCTAACAAGCATGTAAATCTCGTGCGACTGTCTTAGTGTCTGACGCCAGGGAGGCCTAATATGCAGGTAAATCTCGTGCGGCTGTCCTTGTGTTTGACTTCCAGTAGGCGGGGACTATTGAAATTGACATGAGAGGCCTCGTGTATGAATCGTTTAGACAACATTTTGAAATTACGATTTTTTTCACAATGAAATGGAAATGTAAGGCATCACTGTCTAGTTAGAAGAATATGCCAGGGACATCAACAAAAGTTGGAAACGTGGGATAATTTATGCATAATGAGGTCCAACCGTTATGCAAATTATCCCACCTTTCCAACTATCGTTGATGCTCTGGCATAATCTACTTACTAGACAGTGATTCCTTAATAACCTTAGCTGAGCCAGCTTACGCTTTAAAAGTGTACCTTGCGTAGCTATCAAATCCATAGTATGATATATTTTTCCTTCATTTTGAAATGTAAATTCTAAGACAATTTCCATTCAAAAATGTCTTCATAATTTGAAAAAATAAAATGTGAGGTCAATCAAACTTTTTTGATGCAAGTCAAATTGTGACGTAAGAAACATGATTTTTTTTTTATACACTAATTTTTCTGGCCAGTTAAAAGGGTTTTAAATGCGGAATCAAATTACAAACTGATATTCCAATCCCTTTTGATTTCTGAACATTATGTATCATTATTATGAGTAGACCTACCTGCAGTTCCTGAATATCCCGAAACAGTGAGATTATATTTACTTTACGAATTTCTTTATTGAGAACATTATTTTACTAGACCATGTATTACGCGTGCACTCAGTCAGTTACTTATTCCTCTGTTAATTTTTATCTCGAAGACCTGGACGTTATCATCTAAGGCACGTCGCTTGGCAACGAAGCAATCTACGTTCAGAAGTCCCAAGATCATTAACTTAGAACAGACTTCAGTCGAAATTTCACTACAATATAAATTTTGAAATAATTTTGATCATAATTTTTTTTTATCATATGATTATATTTAAATGCTATACAAAACCACATTTTTAACTTAAGTCTGTTTTCAGTTTTAGGCTTGGTGGGGTACGGAATACAATAGCCGAACCTGTGTCTCCATGGAGTCGACATATAAATGAAATTAACTAGTTTTCATTGATGAAACGTCGTCAATATATGCCGCTTGAAAATTCTCTTCTTTTCATATAGTAGATATTGAATAAGTTTTGCTTTAAAGAATTATCAAAACAGGTTCGCTGATAAATAGCACAGTCCGTGCCTATTGCAATTCCAACGGATAGTTGGAAGACTTATTGCCAAAATTACATACTGTAAACCAACTATTATTCGCGTCATCTTTTATTCGCGATTCATCTATCTGAAATCCATTCGCGACAATTAATTTTCGTGACCGAAGAAAAATTCTTTACAAATAATTATCAAAATTATTGGTTCGCGGCGATTAATATTCGCGAGCAAAAGTAGGTCGCGAAACTCGCAAATATTTCTCGCACGCGAATAAAAGATGATTTACTGTATATCTTGTCAATGAGGAACATCAGCATCTTTATGATATCAATTTCAAAGTATCTGTATAAAAAGTTAGAATAATTTAATCTTTTTTCTAAATCAATGGCATCTTATCCCCCCAAAAAATCTTTCTGGATAAGATATAAATCTAGATTGATATCTTATAATGTAAATGATACATAAACTTATCTTACCAATCCAGTAGTTTGTAGATGAATCCCCAAATGCTTGTTTATATTCTGAGCACGTCCTGTAAAAGTCTGTAGATCCGTCCTGTCTTCTTTGTATAGCCTGAAACATTAAAGAAGGCTGTCTCTTTTATTTGCTTTGACATGGAGTAGGTTTCATTAAAAGACCCATGCATATATTTAAAGATAAAGGTCTCTTTACAGTTTTAAAGGTAATTCCACTTTCCTAAAATGTCATAGGTTTTTGCATTTACTACCGTTGTGATAAGCCAAACTTTCACCTAGAAAAGAGTATAGATAAAATCATAATCTATAATTTCATAAAAAACAATACTCATAGCATTGTAGACTGCACCGTAAACATCATTGTCCAGAATCTAAGAAAACATTGTAAATGAATAATTTTATTTTAAAAAACAAATTTGTAATGCATAGTTTTATACTACACAAATTACATTATAAGAAAAAGCTTGTATCAAAGCATGAGTGAAAACTGGATATCACATCCCTTTTTAAATAGTACATTTGTTTTATGTTTAAAAAATCCTTGTTAAAAAGTTCATGTACACAATTTGGGAATAAACTTCACAACGCATTTAATAAATGGCTTGAGAATCTTGGTTGGAACATTTTACGCATTTAAGACATTAAAGAGGTGTTTTTGTAAAAATAAAAAAATAATGTTTTAATGATCCTCTCTACAAAATTGCAAATTTTTTTTTTTAGATTTGAGAAAAATATATCGTAAATGGAGTTAATATTAACCTTATTTATTAAATTTTTAGTATGATGCGTGGCATTTACCCCCGGAAAAATGTTCAAAGACAACACAGTATCAGTGAATAGAAATCACTGTTAATTACTTCAATAGAGAAATACATGTTAATAACACCTTCAGTTAATATATCTTTTAAAATGTTAAGAATTCTCAATTTCATTACGAATTGATTAATATATTGTAAATTTCTATTTCTAAGGGCAGATCACTCTAACTGCAGAAAAATCCCTTAGAATCAGAACTCTTTAGCGTGCAGTGTAGAGAGGGATCTTAAATATAAGTATAACACGTTTCTATTTAATTTATTTGTTATAGGTTACTAGTATACTTTCCATCATTTCAAAGTGAAAATATGATAATATTCATTCAAACATGTCCAAATAATATGAAAAAATAAGATGTAAAATCAACCATATTTTTTGTAACATAAGGAAGATTACTTGATAAACACTAATTTTTGCATTCAGTCAAAGCAGAATTTTATTATGAAGTGATGGATTAGTATCCTGTGTGATGACTGAACATTGTATTGATCAGACCAACCTGCGCTTCCTGAATACCCCGATACAGTGAGTACGTGTTTACTGTATTTATCTCCAACATAAAATGTAGAGTATTGAGCGTACGCTTCAACGCCATCAAAATCTTGTAGCTCAACCCGGAGTTCCCGGTCCTTGTTCATTGTTAACTCATAGATTGCGTCATTTCCTTTAAAAAATACAACAGGCAATTGACTTTATTTTGGTAAACAATGTTTCGAATACTTATTCTATTAATACATAACGCACTTTGTTGATGTTTACTTATGATTAGATATTGTTTTGCTAGACAATTTGTTTTGTTTTGTATATTTTAGTCGATTATTTTAACGATATTTTACAATTTTTGTTTTGATTTTAAAAGTCAATTTTAATATCTTTTATATGAAATAAGATTTTTAACTAGTTTTTGTGTGAAATGCTATTACAATATATAAGTTGTAATATTATAAAGAAAATAATAACTTCAAATCTGTGTCCAAGTACCTTTAATATTATAACACGTATTTTACATTTTTCAAGCAGGCAATATTAAATAAAATGAAGGATATGGAAAAACCGAACATTATTCAATATGAAAGTCCATAAAAACAATACATAATAGGAGCAGAACAAACACGGACCGCTAAAATAACACAGGTGGGATCAGATGCCATGGATGAGTGAGCATCCCCTGCTTACCGGTCACACCCGCCGTGTGGTCCTTGTCACGATTGGGAAATAACGGAAAAATCCGTCCTCAATTCAGTGTATAAATAATGGACTAACAATTAGTATGAAAAACGTCCATGAGCATTTGACTCAATGATAAATTATATTTGCTGACAAGGCCATTGTATCGACCAAAGAACTTACGAAATGATAACTTTAAACGAGATCGCTGATATTCTTATTTCATTAACTTGTTTGTCAATAATTTATACCTCGTATATAAAGGCCATATGAAGATGATGAAGATATATTGCAGCATAAGTAATTGAAGTTGACGATAGAAAAGGCATCACGTTTGTTCCGTCCCGGAATTTTTGTATGTGTATCTTGGTTCTTTATTTTATGCGCAGAAACGAGCCTCATTTTGATTGTTGACAACATGTGCTTCGGAGCACACTGTTTTTCGCCTTTAATCAGTTTTTCTTTTTGACTATCTTGTCTTAAGCCCCAGCGTAAGTCTTTTTCTAGCATTATGTTAAAATAGAATTTATTATTTGTCTATATTAGGATGTTTTTTTGGTATACTAGTGAAATGTATCTATATGTTAACATGTCTGTGTCAGAGAAATTCAGGTTAGGTTTTTTCATCTGTGTAATCTATTTGTATCAGTATATCTGATAATTATACAATCTACTTCACATTATACTTATACCTGAAATGCTAGTCTTAGGTCCAGTCTTATTTGAATCTAGTCAACTGTTAATTATTTTATTTTAGCCGTGTTATGCACATGTACTTAAGATACTCAAATTCGGCTCATATAATTAGATGGATTTACCAGTGTCAGATGAAAATGTTTGCACTTTAAAGTTTATTACATTATCCATTTGATTGATGTCTTGATATGAGTTATACATGTTATACACATAATATGCTGAAGGATGGATTCATGTATACAAGTATGGTCGTCAGTTTATGTCACTGTTAGTGTATGATGTACTCTGTGTCATATTATTCAGATTCTAATTCTTTTTTTTCTGTTCCTTTACAGTTCTTTTACCACATATTCAATAAACGCCTTTCAAGCCTCAGAGGTGTTTGTTGGGGTTATTACAACAGTAGTTCTCCGGAGCAAGAGACTTCGACAACGTTTATCGTAAACATTGGTTGTTAGCTAGATTACCATTAACATTATTTTTCAAGTAAAATATCCAAATATGAAACAGATGTGTCAGACTCTGTGGTATGTTTTATCTCAAGCTCACCAGGATATATCAGATCGACATAGGAATGGAAATAACCATTGTTAATTGACAATATGTCGTCGATATATCTAAATGTTGAGTTGAAGGCGAAAGCAAGTCACTGGATGAAAAATACAGTTTCCGCATGGCTGAAACTCTACTGAAACTCTGCGGAAACTTAAGGTTACTAATAGTTTCCGCAAAGTTTCAGTGCGGAAACTTCAAGTTTCATCAAGTTTCCGCAGTGCGGAAACCAAAGGTGTCCACGAATCCAAATAGTTTCCGCAACTGAAACTTGCTGAAACTTGAGGTATACGCAAGGTTTCAGTATGCGTATATGGTTGAAATACATATGGTGTACCATTGGTATCCGCAACTGAAACTTGCTGAAACTTAAGGTTTACGCAAGGTTTCAGTATGCGTATACGGTTGGAATACATATGGTGTACCATAGGTTTCCGCAACTGAAACTTGCTGAAACTTGAGGTTTACGCAAGGTTTCAGTATGCGTATACGGTTGAAATACATATGGTGTACCATAGGTTTCCGCAACAGAAACTGTACTATCAATTATACAATTTAGCCCAGCTTTTCAACCAAAACTCATTTTCCCCCTGAATTTTCATATTGGAAAAAACAAAACACACTCACACTAGTTATCAAAGAATATTTAATATTATTATCAACATTTACATACATTGGCTTGGCCATTTATTTTCTCTTGCATCATAAATATTTTTACAACTAAGTCCGAGCTCTCATGTCACAACAGGAGGACAGAGAAAATGTCTGCATTTAATGATGTCTCATACATGAGAGATATAATGTTGTGAGAGGAACTTGGAACTGCAATCAATCAACTAAACCTGAATTCAGTATAAGCAAGTCTAGTATCATCAAGGAAATGTAAAAGTTCACATCATTAGTAGCCAATAAGCACCAAAGTGGATTTCTTTGTTAAATATTCAGTTTGTAGTCCATCATCAACCAACAGAAAAGTCCTTGAGTGGTCCACATTTTTGAAGACTCACTTGCACTTCAAGTTCAAGTTGGATTGACCTATTGAAAATATATAAAAATATAGTTTAACAAAATCCCAATCTAAATAAAACAACATGTTAGATCCTCTTGCATACTCGCTACACAACATCTAACAGCATCCATAGAAGGTCATGTCAAATGTCAAATACGGAACAACTCAGACTCTAGACTTAATCATTCCAATAAATTAAATACAATAATTTTTGCATTCGAGTATTTGATTGGTTAATAGAATCTAACGTCTGACGTGACACTCTACAGGATGCCATTAGATTTTAGCCAATATTTGCGCAGATCTAACATTTAATTTTAATAAGATTGACAAACTGAAAGTTCCTAAAACTGTTCTAGCACAAGCCTTATTTTGATTAATTTCAAATTTTCAGCATTTTTGATCAGAATGATTTAAAATAAAATCTAAAAATTTATCAAGTTTAAAATCGCATTAGTTTATTAAAGTTGCCTCTTTTACACACTTGACAAGGGATAATGAAATACACAAACTTGAATGTATTTAAATGTACTGAATAAGTATGTATGGATTTGTTTCTGATAAGATTTTCAGAGTAAATTAAGGATTTTTTTCTTCATTTTACTTGTTCATCAAAATATTTTTTGTACCCCTAACCTAGACCCTTAGACCATGATTCATGATATTTGAATAACAACTAGAGGCCCAAAGACCTTATAGGTCACCTGAGTATCATGTAAAGCCTAGAAAAAAATATGTTTGTTCCCGACTGACCCTAATATATAGTGCCGACCCTAAATTTTTTTTAATGCTTTTGTCCCATGAAGTGCAAGATTTCACCCAGGGAATTATAGTCTCCAACTTTGCAAGCTTTTCAACATGCTCAAGACAGAAAGAAGTTGGAGTTAACTTTCTTTTAAGTCACAGAAATGCTTGAAAACACCATTTTTTTTTTGTCATTAATGTTACTTCTATACACTTTTTCATTCAAGCAGCAAAAAAAACAAATGTTTCAAAAAAAAGAATAATTACCTTCCTATATCTACCTATATTTTTTCAGCCTGAAAGGGAAAACAAATATTTTTTTTCTAGGCCTAACAACTTCCACTCAATTGAGTTTTGTTCGTAATTTAAACAAAAGGCCATGAAATTCACAATTTTGAAAGACACACCTTTGTTTATCATAATTATACACTTAGTTAACATGCTTACTTTGGTTACTAAATACCCAAAGGTAGATCAGAGTAATAAAGATACAATGCAATTCCATTTTATAACCACGAGTTGTGTACACCACCCCACAGGAACCACTAACCCTGGGGCCACACATTTCAAAATTTACTAAATGTTTTCATAGGTTTTATTTCATCTTAAATGGTTTGATTAATTCCAAAGAGCTATAAGACCCACCCTAATACTAGAATCCCTGACCCTGGGGTCATGAATTTCATAATTATGGTAGAGGACTCAATGCCGATTACAATCATACCAACAGTTTGACTGCTTGATGTTCAGGAGGGGAAAAGAAGAAGGGGATTTTCAAAGATTGCATGAATTTTAGTGGTTTTGGCCCCACCCCTCAGGCCCGCGGGGGAGGGGGGGATAAAATTTATAAATTTTGTTCCCCTTCACCAAAATTGGCTGAAATTGGTTGAGCGGTTGCAGAGAAGCTGAAAATCATGATAATAGTTATCTTAAATAAATCATACAATTTTAGTAGGTAGCTCACAAAATGAGACTTTCTAAGAAAATGTTAACATCTGTTTATTTCATGGAAACATATAAATATATTATATAAAACTTAAAAAGTAGAGGAAAGCAGCTTACATGTTTACCCCTTCCCCCCCCCTCCCCAACCCCACAACACACTGACTATGATCATGACGATAAATACTAAATAGAGAGCTTAACATGACACAGTGAGATTAACAAAACAATAGAAAATAAAAACATAAACTTTATGCTTTAGTCCTTAATTTCCTAAAATAGAGCTACATAAATTATATTAAGTTCTTACTCACTGTTAAAACATACCTTTTAACTGAAGTATTCTTCATCCTCTCCTATTAGCCTTAGTTTCCAGATGATTTGTTCAGTGGATATCTGAAATTAAAATAGATCAAATTAGTACAGTACCGTACATTAATAACTGTTTTTGTTTTTAGCATGAGCTAGGAAAAGTTCCAAAAACCACTTGCATGTCCATTTCCTTGCACCTGACATTCAGTTAAAATTCTAATAGACACATGACAAAGAAAAAA